TGTCTTGGTCCACGTGCTGCAGGACTTCCTTGAGGGACATACAGAACCTCTAATCCATGGCCTCATCAGCATTATTGTGAATGAGTGCACACAAGAGGCCCAAAGGCTGCTACACTCCTGTGGTGTCTCACAGAACAATCCTGTGTCCATCTCCAGCAGATTTCAGATAGATACTACCGCTTTCCACCCAACCCCTGCCAGCAGCTCTGCAGACTCCAGTGAGGAGCACCAATCCAGCACATTGGAAGCTATCCTCCACACCCTCCACCCATCTGCTCCCATCCCTGCAGAGCAGGAGGAGCTGGGGGAGGAGGCAGTGGCAGAGGAACCTGCCAGGGAGGAGGCCAACAGCACTGTGGCCATCTCCCCCAGCCCTCAGGAGGAAAATCTTGCCCCACAGGCAGCCCCTGCCAGCAGCCCTGCAGGGTCCAGCATGGAGGACCAACCCAGCATATTAGAAGTTGTCCTCCACACCCTCCACCCATCTGCTCCCGTCCCTGCAGAGCAGGAGGAGCTGGAGCTCGCAGCAGTGTCAGGTCCCTCTGCCCAAGGTGAAAGCCACAGTTCCTTCTCTCCCAGCCAGGGTAGGGACCCCTTGCCCAGGCAGCCTCGGCATTCTAGAAGGAGGAGAGCTGCCAGCCGTCTGGACTATCCCCAGCCCTGCAAGAGGCCACCTGATCAGCAGCAGTAGCAGTGCTGCAGTAAGTCTTTATTAAAGAAAAAATAAATAAATTGCTATATCCCTGATAAAGTCTCTGGATGCTTTCACTCCCTTCTCTTACTATCTTTCCCTGACCCTGTGCACCCTCATCAGCCAAGTGCATTAGAGATCCAGGATGATATTGGGAGTGCCTCCTCCCACAGGAATTCCTGCTGCAGCCACAGCAACAGAACTGTTTCCGAAAAAGCCTGGTAAAGGAGTATTTCATTTGCAAAGAAGAATGTGCAAAATCAAGTTTGCTTGTGCCTGTGCCCAGATGGCACAACCATGTTGCTCCCTGCATTGCATTTCATCTGCAGTTGAGGGGACAGAAGGGGCCCTGCAGCTACCTGGTCAGAAATGTTTCTGGGACAATAGGCCAGGGAACTTCAGAGCGTAACTTCTCTGCATCCAAACACCACTTTATAGGGATAACCAGAGCTCTGTGACTGGTCACAGAACACTCTCAGAGATTATTTACTCTGGCAAAAGAGAATGGTAGTTTTGAGGCTCCTTGAAGAGCTGCACTTTTCATGAAGGAATGTTCCCCATTGAAGACTCCCTTAAGCTGAGCCCCAGGAACAGTCCAATGACCTTCTTGGTAGAAAGCTTTTTTGTGTCAGAAAGAGAGAAACTTTTAAAAGAGAAAAAGAGAAAAAGGAATTTTTTGCTAGGTAAATTACAGCCTCAGAAGAAGAAAGCCATGATCAGAATCACAGAATCACTAGGCTGGAAGAGGCCATTAAGATCATTAAGTCCAATCCATGCCCTAACACCTCAATTAAACTGTGACACTGCGTGCCACATCCAATCTTTTTTTAAACACATCCAGGAATAGTGACTCCGCCACTTCCCTGGGCAGACAATTCTAGTACTTTATCGCCCCTTCTGTAAAAAACTGTTTCAGGAAGGGTATAGAAGCACTAACAGAAGCATATACAACTAAGGCAGACATGTCTAGCATGTCAATTTACTATTGTCTTCAAAACAAAAATGATGTCTCTAATCTAATTTATGCACATAGTGAGGAACTAGAATACTCAAATATTGGAATCTTAGGTATTGGAATACTGGCAGCTCTACAGAATGGGTTAGATTTCACAGAAACCCCAGGGGCTTAAGTGAAAATCATCTAGGAAAGCAGGAAAAGGAAAGCATTCATTTTCCTCTATCAATGCAGACTGCTTAAAAAGAAACACAGACGAGGCAGTAAGCTTGACATCACGTAAGCATGTTTGTAAAGAGGTGTTTCCAATTCATGGTAGGGTGACAGCAGTAAGTAGAGTAACTTTTCAAGTCAATTAGGCTAGATCATGAAAGAGCTACTCCTAAACCCAGCTGTTTTGGCAGGCAGTCCACCCAACGGAGAAACTTTAGAGCAGAAAGGTTCACTTATATGCATAGTCAGTGGAGACAGTTAAGCAATTGCAGAAGGGTGAACTGCGGTGCAGAAAAAAACAAACCACCTGTCTGCTGACTACTTCACAGCTCTGGACATGTGCTTTGTTCAGAAGCATTAATCTGACCTCAAAGGACACATTTTCAAAGACCTTTGGGATCTGCAGCATTCAAAATGTGGTGTTCAAACCAACTGCTTAAATATCCTCAAAAAACAGGATTTTCAGTGAAAGTAGAACTTAACTGATATTCCATTACTTTTTCTTGCATTTTATTTTCACATTATATTTAGAAGCATAGGTAGTAGCTCCAGATAAATATTATATTATCCCTACTGAATGGAAGTGTGTTTTGCACACTCAGAGGCAACATAACACCTTGATGCTAACAAGAACAAGGAGCATGCCATTCCTCTTTGCTAGAGGAATGCAAACTGTCATCACCCCCTTCCTGCCGGAGCTGGCTAAAAGGTTTCATGGGGTCTTACAGCCAGTGCTTGGAGTAAACAAAAAAGGAACAACTGTAGGACACACTATGACTTAACCGAAGTCAACATCATGTGCATATGAATAAATGGGACAAATTCCAGCTTAGATTCAGTGTTTAGAGAAAACAACCCAAAAAATGATTACAGAAAATTCTCTCACAGTGTAAGATTTCTTCTGATAATACTTTTTACTTAATAAAATTCCAAATTTTTGGATAACACGAACATAACTTCTTCACTGAATTTGAACATGTATGTTTCTGTATGTTTAAGGAGAAATAAACACCACAGCCATGGGCTCTCACTATTAAAAATACAAAAGTTGAAATTTACTAGCCATACATCAATGTCTTTGTGATAATGACACAAACAGACCAGCTGACAAGTCTAGTCAGAGTACACAAAATTACTAACAGTGATTGCCTGTGTTATAAATGTTGCCTCCCTCCGTTAGAGAAAATATTTTAAAAATAAACCAGGTTAAACCAGATTAAAGAATAACATTAAAGAGTTAAGTTATGCCATGAACCATGTAGACAGTGATAAAGGAGAGCAAGTCAGCATAAGTCTTAAATAACTTCACTTTTGTAAAAAAGTAGGAATGGAAAACATGCTACTTTCCTGATTGGAAATTCCAGTGATTCACTGGGAGCAACTGTATGAGCAGCAATATACTTCTACCCGTCAAGACAAGTCAGCTTATTTCATGCAGCTCTGTTTTTTCTTATGTATATATTTTCAGGCTTAAGTATAAACTTTCCCCACCTGCTGAACAAGAGGCTGGAAAGCAACACCACGGAAAGGGACCTGGAGGTCCTGGTCAATGGTGAGTTGAACATGAGCCAGCAGTGCCCTGGCAGCCAGGAGGGCCAAGCGTGTCCTGGGGGCATCAGGCACAGCATCGACAGCCGGGTAAGGGAGTGGACTGTTCCAATCTGCTCTGTACAGGGCCTCCTCACCTTGAGGCAATTTTGGGCACCACAAAAACATGTTAAACTGTTAAAGGCTGTCCAAGGAGGGCCATGAAGGCTTGTGAAGGGTCTTAAGCAGAAACCTTATGAGGAGTGACTGAAGCAACTTGGTTTGTTCAGCCTGGACAAAAGGAGTCTGAGGGGAGACCTCATCACAATCTACAATTTCCTTGTGAGGAGAAGAGGAGGGGCAGGCACTGATTTCTTTGTAGTGACCAGTGACAGGGCTCAAGAGAGTGGCCTGATGTTGTGTCAGGGATTTAGGTTATATATTAGAAAAAGATTCTTCACACAAAGGGAGTGGGTACTGTAACGGGCTCCCCAGGGACGTGGTCACAGCACGAAGCTTAACAGAGCTCAAGGAGCATTTGGACAATACGTTCGAGCACATGGTGTGACTCTTGCAGATGTTGTGTGCAGGTCAGGAGTTGGACTCAATTTTCCTTGTGGGTCCTTCCAACTCAGGATATTCTGTGATTCTGTGAATTTTTTTTATTGGTAAGGAGCTCTCTAAATACTGAATATTTTTGTTTTAAATAAATAAATAAATAAACCAAGAGATGCAATAAGGTTGCAACTCCAAAAGTCACTTCTGGACCCTTCTTTGAAAAGGAGCGATGGCTGTTATCTGAGACAATGACCCTTTTCAACATGCCTTATTTTCCTGAAGTATCAAAAGCTACATTTTTTTATATTTCTTGAAGCCATGTCCAGACAATCCAAACAGGTGTAAAACTGCTTTGGCTGAGCTGGAGAGTAGAACACATGGTTGAAATAAATTCCTGAGCTTCCTTCCTTGGAGAGCATCAAGTCGAGAAGGCCAGACCATGGAAATGGCAAGATTTTCTGGGGAAAACAAGGAGGAAGAGCACGGGGTTAGAGTGGGTAGGGAGCTGGGAGAAAGGAAAGATATGAGAATTGCCGGGTAAAGATTCCTCTGCCCGTCTCAGACAACATGGCATCGGCAAGCACCCAGGCACGCTCCTGCACATACAAGACACACGTCGTGCTGTCTGCCAAACCGTCCTCTCGCCGGGCTGGGCGCCAACGACGCGAAATGCAACCCAATGGCTTCCCGCACCCTCCTCCCAGTAAAGAGTTATTTTAAAACTTTACGCATAGTGCCCGGTAGCAACAGTGACCAGGGATAAAAGGGCAAAGGAGCAGGGCAAGGGAGGAAGCACGAGAACACGAGGAGGGGTAAACCCTACCAAAGCTGTGCAAAACGGCTGCAGCAGCTTCAGCGGGGAGACCCGGCACGGAAAGGATGGCTCAGGGGCCGAGGGAGTCGGGGACGGCGTCCGAGCTCCGGCGAAGCACCTTGCACCGGGCTCGGCGCTGGCTGCTGGGGCGGCCCCGGCCCCGCCTGCCGCTGAGGGCGCGACCAGGGCCGGTGCTCCTCGCAGGGGAGCGGAGCGGAGCCCGCACAGGAGGCGAGGCGGCGGCAGCGCCGCAGGAAGTCAGCGCCTGAGGAGGCTGGCACGGGGTCGACCGTGGGGCGGCCCCTCCCGGCCCGGCCCGCCGGCCGCAGCTGTTGCCAGCCGAGAGCCGCCGCCGGTACCCCCGAGTCGCCGCCGATGGTGCTGCCGGGGTCCTGCTGCCCTCTCCCGGGTCTCGTCCCGCTGCCCCAGGCAGGGCCCCTCCGCTCGGGCGCGCCGCCGCGCCGCCGCCCGTGCCTCCCGTGCCCGCTGCTGCTCTTCCGCTCGCTGCTCGGGCTGGGGCTGCTGCAGACCGGCCTGGGCTGCGCCCTGGTGGCTCTGTGCTTCGGGGCGCTGTCGCTGAGCAGCGCCCCGCAGGTGAAGAACGCGTGTCCCCTCTGGGCCGGCTCCTCGGTAAGTGACGGCCGCGCGCCGGGACACGCCATGCTGGGGTCCGGCCATGCGTGCTCGGCACCTGCGGGGCTGGCTGTCCCGAGGGATGCGTGATCCCGCTGCTCCGCCATCGCTTGGGAGCAGCCTCCGGGTAACGGGGTAACGGCTTTTTGCTGGTAGCTTTGTAGGACCCCAGCGGGGTTACAAACGTCGAGACAAGCAAATAGTGGATTTATTTCCTGACGTGCAATTTTGGGGAAAAAAAAAAAAAAAAAAAAGTACTCTGTTATTTTGTGCTATCAGACACAGGATTTCCAAAAATTGTAGTGCGTGTAATATTGCATGTTTGTGCTTTTGTAGCTTTTATCGTAGGCATAATCTAGAGAAAAATCACCAATGTTCCTGGGGAAAAAATAGAGGGACTTAGCACAGTTTTGGAAGGACTACTGAAAAGAGTTATTCCGTCTCCTGTTGGGCCCTGCTTTAAGCCACAGCTTTATAAATATGGGATATATACCAGAATTTGTATTGCAAAAGGTAGGCAGCAGTAAGCACAAGTTAGTAAGTCAGAGTCACATTGATTGGTCCCAGGTTTTGGGCCCTTCAGCAATCAGCAAGTCATGTATTGGGATAGACACTCAGCTCCTGCTGCCTGTGTGAACAGTATCAGCTTATCCCTCGCTTTAAACATTTCAATCAAATTACCATGTTGTTCACCACCTGTAAAAATGCACACAGTGCAGTAGTTTGGGGACCAAGTAGTTCCTGTTTATCTGTATAAGCAGCTTAATCCCTGAATGTACACAGTCCTTGGGGGATGAGGGAAATCCAGACCAGCCAAATGTCTTTGTTTGGTATCTCTCTTGTGATCTTTCATCTTTTTTTTTTTTTTAATTCTTAATCTAGGTTAAAAGAAGTTTATATAACCAATGGATTTTCTTTGAATTCTGCAAACTGAACCATGCTTATGCTTTTAAAATGCTTTAAAATTGCATGTGTAAGATAGAGGTATTCAGTATTTTTCATAATCAAGAAAGATGTTGGTTTTGTTTGGGGTTTTAAAAATTATATTTCTGAAATAATAGTACACTCAGAAAAGTTACCAAAATACTGTTTGGGTGTAAAAATATACATGAAAATTTTAGCCCAGAAGCAACCTGGAGAAGCAGATGCCATTAAAAGCTGACTGATGTGTCTGGTTGGGTGCTTTTTGGTTTGGTATTCTTTTCATTATGGATGCTACATGGTGACTTCTGAGGGTCATGTCAGGAAAATTTTTGAGAAAAATTTCTCTTATCTTTAACAGATGTAATGAAATAAATTTGCTGTCCATAAGGAAAAAAAAAATTACGTCAGTGTTGATATGCTTTGTTATAAAATCATGTGTCCATTTTGCAGTCAAAGAATTCAGAAAATACTTTGTTATGAAACTGCAGTTATGTATGCGGTTTTGCAACACCAGTGATGATATCAGTAGGTGTTTTGGCCAAGTCATATATGCGTGTTACGCTAGATTAGATTGATCATGTCAAGTGGATGAAGTTACAGAAGGGATTTATTAAAAATACTAGTGGATGACTTCCTGCTTTTTCCAGTCTTCCTGTTTCTTTTTGGGGTAGGAGCTTGGCTGTCTTAGTCACAATGTCCATCAAGTTAAAAGTATAGCTGCTGACTTAGGGGACGTGCTGAGAAACTTATTTACCTTTCTTTATAGGGTTCCTGTTCTTCTGTGAGAGAGTATTCGGGTATGCTGTTTGTTTCAGTTCTACAGCAATTTTTTGTAGTTTATTAATTGTTTGGTCCTGTAAGGTAAAGAAAGAATCATAAGGTTCAGTTCTGTGACTTAGCAAGTTTGGTCTAAAAACTGCTGTTGCAGAAGGATGTGCTTTTATTTTAACTTCTTTCCTCACGCTGATACTGGCATTGATCTGATTAAATAGCAAAAATTTTCAGGGATGTAGTGCTGGTGTTCTTTATTGATTTTGGTAGGGTTCATGCTCTGGGTTTTAGCTCACCAGAATGGTCAGAAGTCAGCAAAAGGGAAGAAGGAAGTAAGCACTTAATGAAGTGCTGAGATGGTGATGGAGAGAGGGGAGGAAAAGGACAATTTTTAGATTTGCCTAGCCATGTTTTAGAGAGCAAATGCTTCATTGGCTGAAAGCAGTTATTTAAGGCAAACATGGAGGTTGGAATTGCTGACATACTACTTGTCCCCACGCGTGTTTTCTGGGAGGGAAAAGTAAGAAATGAGTAGATTTAATTTGGTTGTTATTTCACAGGATGCTCTTAGGAGCAAAGAACTTCAACAGGTATTCTCTGCTTTAAAGTGCATCTTCGTATCTTCCCACCATTGCTGTAGTGTTCCAAAGTACAGTAATACAAACAGTGTAAATGGCATTTTGCGAACAGTTCTTTGCTTCTTCGTGATGCTACATTTTTTATATTGTAGGCAATCTTATGTGGAATCCTAGGGTTAACAACATGGAAGAGGCCAATGCGGCTTTTGGTAAGTATGGATTAGACTTTGTAAGGAAATCATAAAAAAAAGAGCCTAATTTAATAGTTGTTGGTAAGAAAATAATCACCCCTTTCTCCTTTCAAAAAAATAATGTTGAGTCTTTATTTTCAAATTGTAGAATCATAATTATTTAAAGAGAAGTCAAAGACCCTGCTATATTCATTCCTGCACAGATGAAGTCCCCTGTAAGGTCAAGAGTGGACCATGTCTGGAAGAATTGTTAATGTTATTTAAAGTGCACATTTTTTGGTTTTGTATGTATAAGAAAGCTGGCTTAGAATAAGTAATTTCGTTCTCCAAGGTAGTGCAGCTTAAACTGAAATGAAGGAGATAGCTTTAAATCCTAGCTTAGTTGTAGTGTTTTAGTTTTTGACAATGGGTTTGAGAACTAATTTAACACCTTACAGCAGGATCCAGTGCTAGTTTCATATGCAGTTGACATTGCATTGCTGTGAGAAAAGTAGATTGATGTGCAGGGTGTGTAAGCTGTTTCCACTTTTAAGTGAAATCTGAAGCTGTGTAGCTCTTAATGTCTCAGAGTTGGGATTTGAAAAGGAGTTGTAGAGTTGCTTTTGTTTGTTTGTGAATTTAGGGAGTTTTTTCATTTGGTGGTTGATTTGGGATTGTTTTTGTTTATTTGCTTGGAATTTTTTGCTTCACTGTCACTTCTGAAGACTTTTTTCAGGCCAAGGCAGTTGGTCTTTTTTTTTTTGGGGGGGGGGGGGATCCACATTGGTATCGGTTAGGAGTACCAAGGATTAGATGTGTGAGCTGTGGATAGAATCCTAGAATTGTAGATTCACAAAGGTTGGAAGAGAGATTTGAGATCATCAAGTCCAACTGTCAACCCAGCACTGCCCCAGATCCCTAAACTGCATCACCCAATACCAGATCCAGATGCCTCTTGAATACCTCCAGGGATGGTGACTCCACCCCTCCCTGGTGCATCCTATTCCAAAGCACAACTACCCTAACAGCAAAAAAGCTTTTTCTAGTGACTAATCTGACTCTCCTTGTCCCAGCCTGAGGCCATTCCTCTTGTCCTCTCACTGCAGGCACTGTAGCGGATATGGCCCCGACTCACCTCAGCCTCCTTACAGGGAGCTGCAAAAAGGAATGAAGTGCCCCCTGAGCCTCCTCTTCTTGAGACTAAACAAGCCCAGCTCCCTCAGCTGTCCCTCATGAGAGATGTTCTTCAGTCCTTTCAGGAGCCTCACTGCCCCTCGCTGGACAGGCTCCAGCCCCTCAATGTCCCTTTTAAAGTGAGGGGCCCAGAACTGAGCACGGGCCTGAGGTGAGGCCTCCCCAGTGCCCGGTACAGGGGCACCATCACTGCCCTTGTCCTGCTGGCCATGCTGTTCTAGACACAGGCCAGGATGCCACTGGCCTTCTTGGCCCCCTGGGCACACCGCTGGCTCATGTTCAGCTAGCTGTCAACCAGCTACCCTAAGATCCATTGTTATTTCTCAGTATGCATTGGTTAATGGGCAAATTTTTTAGGAGTTTTGTGGATATGGAGAGGAACCCACTGTTAGAGACTCCCAATCTGGAAGGACCATATTTTCATCAAGATAAATGTATATGCTGTCAGTCTCAAACTGCCTAAGGCTTGCGCAGTAGTCCTGTGTTAATAGTGCCTGTGTTCCCTGCTGTTTCTATAGCATGTTGTTGCTCTTTCATTCTTTAACATTCTCCATTGTATAAACCTTATTTTCCTTTCCTAGTTTTACTTAAATAGAAAACACAAGTTATTCTTGATCTCTTATTTCAAATGGTCTTTAGGATGGTCACATGCTGAAGGACATTGCCCTGGGATATTATGCATCAAGAAAGTTTTTGACTTGAAATTGATAAAAGCTCTCAGCAGCCTGCCGTAATTTTATAGCTGACCCTGCTTTTAAGCAGGAGATAACGCAGGAGTTTTCCTCAGCTCTCTTACAGCCACAGTTATTCCGTGATTATGTGACTCTGTGAAACTGTTTGGGTTTTTTTTCTTATTTGTATGTGTATTCTACAGAGGTTTGATTTTTGGTAGCCAGATTAGATCAGCCTTGAAGCACTGGGAAGCATTTCTGCTCAAAGAGAAGTGAAACCCGCAAAGGCTCCTAGAGATGTGTGTTTGATGCCCCAAGCTGTCATTGTTCAAGAGGTATTTTGGACAATGCACTTAACACTGGGCTACAGTCTTTCAAGGACAGATTGTTAGTTTTTGTGAGCATATTTATGTTGGGCTAAATGTCTATTATGTCTATCTTCTAGTAACTTGAATTTTCTCTAGGGAGTTATGAAGATGCACTATTACATGAATTGTAAAAGCAAGCTTCCTAAATGGCTCAGCAATGAGAATTCTTACAAAGTCATGACTTAGAATTATGATATTCATAAGCAAGACTAGAAAACTCATTCAGAACTAAAACATATCCATTTGTCAGTTGTGACTGTCCTCCTCTTACAACTCCGTATGTAAAGCCTTAGCAGTCCCAGTGATGGTTTCTCACTATCTGTGTTTGTATTTTTGTGAAGGGTCAGGCTGTCATGGCTGCCACTTCAATCCAAGGCGTTGGTCATGGAGAAAAGAACCAGACTGTAGTCTGTTTTTTTTTTTCTGTGACAGCAAGATTCTGGTGCTGCTGATGCTTGCAGAAAGCACAGAGCTGCAGTGCTATGAGAAGTGAGCTGGGGATGGGCTGTAGTGCTTCAGCCACTTGGGTTTTTTCTTGGGGGGGAGAAAGGAAGGGAAACACGTTGGTTATAGATGTAATGGACCTTTAGTAGCACCATCTGTGAAAAAACAGCCGTGAAGAGGAGATGGCTGTGATAAGACCTTTTAGTAAATAAAATGGAGAGCCATATTTGGGTTTTGCCACCCACACTGTTTTACAGCTGTATTAACAGTGTGGGATGATACTAGATAAACAATATATCTGAGAGAGAGGGTACTGCAAGGCAAAATTAAGTCATATATTTTGAAGGACATTTTTGCAAGGAAGGCCTAGCCTTGTGCAGTACAGCTACTGGGAAGTCTGGTTTCAGTCCTTCTTTGGTTTTAGGTGTTTGAGGAATTTCCATTCTGGATTTCGATATCAAGTGTCGATCAGTTTTGGAAGTCAGCTTGTAATGCTTGTGCTTTGAAGCTGATTTCTTTGAGATAATGCTGAGTTAACACTGGACTCAATGATCTTAGAAATGTTAATGATCATATGTTTCTTCTTCTTTAGGACTGTCCAAATGTATTAATGTGGAAAGGGAAACTCACCGTCACCTACCCCTCCAAGTTACTTGGGTGTTAACTCTGACCTGTTTTGGGCTAAAATCTTCCTCAATGTTACCTTCCTCAATGCATAGAATCCAGTTCCTTCCTCTCTGCTCCTAAGCTCCTTCCTTTCACACAGCTTTAAATCTTAGTTTTACCTGAAGGAACTTAAATTCTTTCAGAGAGTACATCAGTTCTCCATTGTTAGTTTGATTGTGTATGTTTTGAGGGCAGTTCATGTCTTTGACAGGTCATGCTTGCTGCTATAGCATCTGTCCTTACTTGTATGCCAGATTGGACTGATTTGAGTTTATGTAGCATTCCCAGGAGTTGCCAGGAGCCGTATATGTTTTGCTGAATGTAGAATGCTTTTTAGGTGACTCTCTGAATGTGTTTGTTTCTGGTGTTGGGGTTTTTTTCACCAACTGAAACAAAGACTTCAAATTAAGCATCTCTTTGGTGTCTGCTTGGTGCTTGAGTTCTGCTGCTAAAGAGGAGACTTAGCTGTGATTGAATGAAAGGGAAAGGAGTGCCAGCATCCAAGACACCAGCCTGTTGTGCTGTGCAGAGTTTAACTGCTGCAGCTGCAAGTACACTGGGGGAGCAGTTTGGTACCTGCAAAATGCATGAGATCAAGAAGCCAACAGAACACATGCAGGCTGGCTGGATGTGACTCTGGCCTTTGGCTACATCTTCTGTTGTTTGCTAGTATGGCAGCTTTTGTGTTCATACATGCCATTGTTTTCATGTAAAGCTTTGAGGGGTTTGACAGAAAAGTCAGAGTTGCACATGCAGCATGAGTCATTCAGTCTGGATTCTCCACATGTTTTACAGTGTGATCACATAAGGATTTGAAATTTTCATTTGAAAAATTTTTAATTTAAATGTGTTAATATTTTTGGTTTATGACAAATATTTACAGATCTTACGTTGGAAACAAAAAAGTTTATGGAATTCAGCCTTTATTTATAACCTGGAAATTTTTGAAGAATTTATTTGTGGTAAACCTTGTATTCAATTGAAAATTTTTATCCAAAGAAAAATATGCTCCAGAAAACTTTAAATAAAGATTTCTTAGGGCTGACTACTGCTATGATATCTGTACCTTGACAGATTTTCATGAATTTAACTAAAATTTAATGTGTAGATACTTCAAGATACTTCATGCGGGTAATGTTCTTACGTTTTAGCTCTGCTAGTAGCAGTGAACTGTGCATAGGTGCTCCATATCATGTCCTTAACCCTGAAAACCAGTCTCTCCCTGGGCATGTGCTTTATATCAAGCAGTCATTTGACTTGTGAGAATTACTGTAGTAGTATCTTTTTTTCCCTGGATTTTAGAAGTAAAATAGCTCGGTATTAACCTCTTTGCTCACACTCTAGACTCCAGCATTAAGTCAATAAATAGTAATTATGCAAAGTTTTTAAAGTCAATATAAGCAAACAGAAATATGCTTTAAATTGTGAGAGTATGAAAAGCCATTAGAAGCTTATAGCCATTTATATGCTGCGAAAGGTTTTCTCTCATACATGGGGTGTTTTAGTGCTGCATTTCAAATATGTGACTTTTTTTTATTACATGAATTAATTTGTCTTTTCTTGTGGGGCTTTCGTTTGTTCACAGTTGTATTGTGGGTTTCCATACAGTACAATGAATAGCTCTCACAACTGACAGAAATCTAATAAGGTCCTATGAGTTTTAATTATTCCTGTTGTTGCTGTGCATGTGGACTGTTAATAAATGGATGTACTCTTTTCTGCAGGATGTTTATAAAGAATATACGTGGACTGTAAATGGATATAAGGGTTGCTGAAACAATTGTTTTTTCTTTCATTTAAGTGCCTACTTGGGCATCAGACCTGCACGTGCATATTCAAGTGAAAGCAGTCCCTCTCTGGCATTAGATGCTTGCTTCAAAGGCAGCAGCAGCAGCAGGACAAAAAGGAGCTTCCCCATGCAGAATGAAAGATAGCGCCAGAGTTTTACTATGCAAATGTATTCTTCCTTGGAGTCCTCAGAAGGCATGATGACACTTTTTTACCTGAAAAAAAGATCATATGTGCATGACCTTAGCAAATATGGATAGAATACACTTCACTTTGATGTAATTTAATTCATATGAAGGTTCCTTGCAGCCTTCTGCAGCTGTTAACAGTCCATATGTACCTAAGGCTCTGAAGATGAAGCTGTGAGCCAAACTAAGGCCATAGTTTGAGTTGTTTCTGTTTTTATAACTGCAGTCAAGACCAGTTACATCTGTTTTGGTTTTTGAAATACCATGTTTGCCTTTCTCTATTTTTTTCTAAATTGAGAAGTACTTCTCTGGCTAGGATCTTCTGTCACTGGGATAAAATGTAACCCCTGTTTTTACCTGTAGGTGAGCAGATGTTTAACTTTGCATCTGCAGGAGAATATGAGTAACTAAATAAGCTGACAGAATACATGTTAGATTGGACAGTGAGTGACTGAATAAGTAGGCACAGAGGGTTATGATCAGTGGTAAAAGCCAAGTCAGCCAAGGACCAGTGGTGAGCCTGAGGGGTGGAAACTGACAGGCCAGTACCACTGAAGTGAGTGCGCTGTGTGTGGATCTGAGTGCACTCTCAGCACAGGCAATGCTCAACTGGGAGGAATGGCTGATAAGTTAAATATTGCCATTCAGAAGGACCTGGACAGGCTGAAGATTGCATTGAAAGGAATCTCTTGAAGTTCGTCAATGGGGAATGCCAAGTCCTGTCTGCGCAGTGAAATTATCCTATCCCGCAGGAGGGAACAACATGTTGGAAAGCAGCTCTGCAAACAAAAACCTGGGGATCCAACAAGCTGTCCATGAGACAGCAAAGTGCTCTTGTGGCAGAGAAGACGACTGGTGTCCTGGGCTGGATTAGGCAGAGACTTGCCAACAGGTCCAGGGGTGTGATCCTTCCCACACATGGAGAGGTGTGAAAGCTGTGGCTGTTGAGCCTGGAGAAGAGGAGGTTCAGTGGAAATCTCTGCATCGCTATTTAGAGCTGATGGGGAGGAACAAAGAATAACGAGCTGGACTTTTCTCAGTAGTGCTCACTGCCAGGACTAGAGACTGTGGGCAGACCTTAGAAAATAGGAGACTCCATCTGAACATGGAAGACAACTTTTTTACTGTTATGATGGTCAAAAAGGTGTAGGTTACATATAGAGATAGTCAAAACTAACTAGGCATTATATTCAACAGCTTGCTGTAGGTCACAGAATCATAGAATGTTCTGGGTTGGAAGGGATCTTATGGTTCCAGGTCCCTTGTTGTGACACCTGCTTGAGCAGGAGATTAGACCCCTCTTATCTGTGGTTTTGTGATTAGTACAAAGCCAGGACAAAATACTCTTTCTCTTAATAAATTATAAATTATTTTAGTTTTAGTGTGTCTAACACAAAGTAGTCCCAGTCCTCTACAGAGATTCACTAATAACTACATCAATTAGTGGGGTTTTTGGGGTTAAAATCTACCTTACAGGATAACGTTATGGTCAAACTAGTAATGACTAGTAATGTTGTAATTGAAGAATTTAGCTTGCATAGTAATGCTATTTGGCTCTTGTGCATTCATTGGGGATTATTGCCCTGAACCTCAGAAAATGGGAACATAATTTGTGCAACAGCTGTTACATGTTTCTGCTTCAGATTCCAGGTAGCTAATGAAGGTACATCAGATAAATTTATTTGGAAGGCCATGGTGTTCTTTGAATGTTTAGGAAGTCCTTGTTACTGGATCTTCTGTAAAGCTGTCTTGAACAGAACGGAACTCATGTCCCTCATAGTGTCCTTCTCTTCCTCTGTTTTTTGTGATGTCCTACTTTTTTAATTTGGACCATTTTGATACAAAGAAACCTGAGTGAGCAGACTTACTAAAAGGATGCTTTGGGATGTTAAGAATCTGATACTTGCTTTGTGGGATCGAATACTTAAAGAGGAATCTTACCTTTATTTGTCTCTAAAGTAGTAATCTTACCCATAGTACTTGTTCTTGAAGTACAGAATATTTTTGCCTGTATGAATAGGGACGGGGATGGTTCTTTTGTATGTCCAAAATCCATATCCAAAGTCATGTAAGCATAGATTGTGAGGGCATAGGTGAAAGCAACACATCATTTTTTCCACTGCTTCTGCTTGTCCTTTTCTCATGTATTTATTTCTCTTGCCATTGCTCGATTTCTGGTGGTTTATAAATTTGTAAGTACTATCTGATTTACAAATATTCTGGTTTTAGTAGCCAGGAGGAAATAAAATCATGCAGCTCAAGTCCCCAAAGTGTTTCCATCCTCACTGTATTGGGACAAATATTTTTCGAATATTTGTGCTGCAAAATAATTCTGGAAATGTGCAGAGTGAATGTTGGCTTAAGATGTTTCTTCCTCTTCAGGTTTCTTTACTGTTCAGAGTGTATTGAGTTAAACTTGGTGGAAGAGTATGACACACAGTGGAAGTTGGGCAACTTGCAGGTCATACTTTGCACTCCAGCAAAACCTTTAATTGCTTGTACTATTACTACTGACATTATGCAATAGTTGCATAACTAGACCAGAATAAGAAGAGAGAAGACAAAGAATTTTGGGAATAGGTTAAGACACCTTGGGGCACTGAAGTCATGGGCAGTTTTGGAAAAGCGGAGAGTCATTCCCAGCTTCAGTTTGTGAATGGGATTTGCTCTGTAATAAGTTCCTTGAGTTGGGTTTCTGTGCCCACTGCCGTTAACTTTGTTTTGGTGTTCCAGGTTAACCTGTTTGTTCTGCTGTCTATGATCAGTTTTATGCTGAACATGACTGGATTAATACTAGGATGTCAAGGCATTCAATTTGTGTCCAGAGTACCCAGATGCAATTTGGTGAGCACACATACTGATTTACATGGATTTCTTCTCATTATGGCATGTTGGCTTGCTGTGCTGAGATCACAAAATGTCCTGATGTAGAGTTACAAGTAATTAAAGAACTAGCACAAGGGATTTTATGTAGTAATGTAAAAAATATAAACCGTTGAAAAAAGCCTGAGTGTGGGTAATGGTGAGCTACTGCAAAATGTTCAGTCCATTATAATCTGTGGGTGGGATTATTCTTCCTGTTTTGCCTCACCTGGGGGGGACCATTCAGTGACACCTTACAGCAGAAGCTGTGAGAAAAAAAAATAAGGTAGATGAAGTCATAGTAGCTTTTCAGAACACTTGTGCTTGAGAAAGATGCAGTCTGTACAAGGCAGGACAGAATGCAGAAGATTTTTCTCAAGCGGTTGTCATGAGAAATAGAAGAATCACTATTGATGAGCTGGAAACTGTGGGATAGTTGAAATTTAAGGATACTGTATAGAGTCAGTTGTTGAGGAAGATGATTGTGTGTAAAAGCTTGAAGGACTTTGTGGGTTAATGGAACAGATCTTTGAATATCTATTTTCATTCATTTATTCTTTCAGGAACACTGTTGTTGGTTCCTTGACATGCCAGTACATGTATTGCAGCGAGAGTCCAAGATTATAAACCCTTGGGAATCTAAATTCATCTCGTATCACTGCACCAAAGCCATAATGAGAATTAATAATGATATTCCAGATGAGGTGGTCAAAGGTTGCAGGAGTTTCTGAGCTGTCTGTAGTTGGAAATATAGGGTACAGCAAAAAGACATTCCTGAAATCATCAATTATATTGTAGGGTGGCTTCTGTAGGTGGAAGAGTGTCTACATTGTGACTCCAGAGTTTGAAAGCTAAAACCACAATTATTTCTAGATATGGAAACATTGAATTTCTACTTTGAAAACTAATATGATAAGATTAATTTGAAAGTGAAAGTTACAAAAAACAGTGGTGTACAGATATGGCTATTAATTATTTGACTGGGTTGAAATTATAGTCGTGGGCTTCATTCCATCCATAAAAATGCAAGATATATTCTTGAGCAATAGAAAATGTGTACAATTCATATAGAGTGGTTTACACAGTCAGAGAAATAATTTCTAGTCTGTTAAGCATTGGAAAGAGCATAGATAATAAAATTCCCCAGTAATCATTGCGGCTTTGATTACAACTAAGTTGTGTTTAAATATGTTGATGTGTTACCCATAATGTTTTCTCTCACTTAAGAAGTGTACAGCTTTATAATACAGGAATCATTGGCATACCGAACTGTTCAGTTATATGATCTTGTATTTTCAGTGTGCTTTGTGGTCATGGGCTTAGTTTAAGACAATAGGTTCTATATTATGCAGGTAAAAATATTGCATAAAACAATTAAAAAGTAGAGTTTTGTTCATTAAAGATGGATATGGATGAAAACAAGACTTGTTTTTGCTGTGAAGAACTTCATCCCACTACCTGCACAGAAGAAGAGGCTGTACTGAAGCTATACCATGTGAAGTCATGCAGTGCTGCTCACCTTCTTCTCAAGGTACCCTGCACACCCATCAATAATACTGCTTTTACAATGTTGATGTTCGTGCAGCAGTGCAGTGCAGTGCTGAAGTGTTTATGTTATTATGTTATTTTTCTGGTCTTCCGCATTGGTCAGAAGCTCTTCATGGTTCTGTAACATGATGGGGCTGGGGGCAGCAGGGGGCAGGGGGGTTTCATGTCTGGGTTTTGACCTGTGCATTGCTGAGCCAATAAGCAGTTCTTGCCTGGTTTTTAGTGCAACCAAAACTGCTGTTTAATCCAGACAAGATTACAGGGGTAAATGAGATCTAAATTTTAGCTAATGATTTGATGCCTTTGTTAGTCTTTTGCACTTCTCAGCCCTTTGTGGCTTAGAAATTGCTAAAATAAAACTCCCAACCAACACCATCTTTAAATATCAAAAAGCTTTGACATTTCTTTAATGGTGATCGTCTTGAATCTGTATTTCCCACTGAGAAGTTACGAGTAAGGTTATAATTCTTGAATGAGTAGATAGATAAATCACATCTGGATCTCTCTTGTCAGGACAATAAATAGTGCAAAACAAGTTTTTGCACATTACTCCAGTCTTGAAGATTGTGCTAAAGACTTCATCCCATACATTTCTTGGAAGTAATTGCCATGATCATCCCTGTGTTTTCTCTATTTGTTTTAGTTTTGTATTATTATTTATTGTTATTATTTTGACATTTACAAATGCCATGATTTAATGTTTTAATTTCAATCATCTTCATGTTCTTCAGAAAGTTCTCTTAGCTCTTAGTGCCCTGAATGCTCTCACTGCCACAGTTTGCTTCACAGCAGCTGCCCTGCATTACTTACTGACGCTTGCATCAAGAAGATCCTGCACAGTAAGTGAGCACCAGGCATTGCCTGCCATAGAGAGTGGTACAAACAGTATCAACAGATTACAATGTTCAGCACTATATATAGCTCAGAAGGGTTTTAACACAAGTTTTGTTTGATTAGGATGAATGTGAGATTGAAGGTGAAGATCACAATTTGGATCCTGATGACTTTGTCCCACCTGTCCCACCTCCCTCCTATTTTGCAGCTTTTAATTCTTGTACTCCGCAAAGTCACAGGTAAAACTGTACGCTCCCTTTCTTTTAGTGTCTTTTGAAACACTGCCCAATCTTTTTTTTAAGACTGTTTTCTCTGGTGAAAAAGGTTTGTGATTTTAGGGGAATTGAAAAAAAAAAAAGAAGAAAAAACCCATTAGTTTGGAGAAAGCATAAATACAGTGCAGGTAAGGGGGTAAAATTTTGTGGTTTTGAGTTTAGATTCTCTAGGAATTATTTCTGGGTGAGAGAAATACTACTGCTTGACACAGCTGAAAACTTACACGATGCTGTCAAGAGCAAGTGAGGGCCACAGTGGGAAGCTGGACACAACCACTTGGCAAGCCAGAGACCCTGAATGGTGTTCCCCCCATGACCTGAGTCATTCTCCTTCCCCCTCTTGACCTCTTAGGGCTGACTGTGGGCTGTGTTTTGGCTACACTGCCTGGAAAAGTAGTCCCTTACCCTGCAGGGATTTGCTCTTAAAATCACTTGCAGGTTGGCTTTACTAGTTTATGACTCAGGTGGGGTTGCATTATTCTGTTCTGAGCATACAGTATTTATACATAAAGTATTATGATGCTCAAGCAGACTGTATGTCTCTTGTTCAAAATGCCTCCTTTTTGCAGTGCGCAGGAGTGTTTAGTTTATTTCACTGTTTCATCAGGAGTAGCATGCATGACTTTCAAGATTAAATGTTCCTGGCAGAGGTAATTATAGATTGTAGGATTGCCTGGAAAATTATAACATGGCACAACAGTAGGATTTAGAATGAACAAGTCCTCTGAAACACCAGAAACTGGATTTGAATTCAAAATACAACTGAAATCCTCTATTTAAGTCTTGGTTCAAGCGGCTTGTGAGAACAGAGTGGAATGTAGAATGATCTCTTTGTAAGAATAATTATTTATGCTTTTCAGAGTTCTCCTGCTTTAAAATGGACCAGTTGTTCTTTGTCAAGCATGTCATTCTGGATGATTATCTCTTTCCCAGAAGCAGGTTTTTTTTGGGTTTTTTTTTTTGTTTTTTTGGCACAGGAGGGTCTGCTGAACTGTGTTTAAGGCTTCTGCGGTCTAAAATTGAGTAGCTACCTTGCCTGTGACTATGTTAAAACTGGTTGATATTAACACTAAAGTGATGATGACATCTTTCTGAAGTCAGGCTACTTATTTTAGGGTATTTTGGATAGTTATACAGCAGTGCAGAAATTAAAGCAACAGACAGGCTTTATTTCTGTTTTTGGAAGATGAGTAATTATGACTCAGCCCAGGCTGAATCCTGCAAGAGTGGCTGAGATGGGATGTGGCCATTTCTCAGTCAGCCTTCTCACACTTCTTCCTCCCAGACTGTACCCTGAGCTCCTTTTAGCACCTGTGTCCTGGCTTTCTGTGCTGAGGTCCCTGGTCCCTGCATCCCAAACCTTTGTGTGCAAGGAGGGTGTGACAGGAACCACATCCAGGGAGGTGAGCCCCATCTGCAAGCTTCAAGACAGATACATCCCCTGAAAAGGGAAACACTACAATCATCAAAATTTGTGCCAAAGACATGTTTGGAATGGGCAGGCCTTCTCTGCTGCCACCCTTTAAATTGAAATGGCAGAGGTCCAGCTGTCAAAGACAATTGGTTTGCTCACTTGTTCATGGGAGACTTTTACATTTGTCGTATTTAATGGCAAAAAACAAACTAGCCCTTCAAGTGTCTGGTCAATTCCTGCCTCTACTCGTGTTATTTCATATATTAAAAAATAGCAATTACATTATTTTTCAGGGTTGGCACAACATAAACAGAGACAGCTGGGTTTCCAGGTGAAAAAAACAAAATACAAAATTTGGCAGGAGTTGGCCTTTGATCCTTGAGGGTCCCTTCCAACTGAGGATATTCTGTGACTCTATGAAAGTGTCACAAGATGTGTAAATTTAAGGGAAGAGGTGATGCATGCTGGGCATCAAGGCCTAGAAATCGACCTCTGTTCAGTTTAACATGTTGTTTGGGTACTTCCTGGAAATTACATTTATAATTAAGGGACTCCAGGGAATGCTTTTCTAGTTGCATATTCTGTAATAAGTTTTACCATAATTGGACATAGCATTAATTTTCAAGGTATGACTGAGATTTCAAGGTAGGCCACATCAGGCATGTTTAAATATAAAACTAAGATTCAAAATGTATATAACTTTGTGGCTTACATTGAATGTAAATTCAGCATGAACATACTCGGAAAATGTGAGGAAATAATGTCGACGGAGGATCCGTCTCCATCATACTCCAGAATTATTCTAAAGCTTTTTGGAACAGATGAAGTAGATTGTAGTTAAACCTATTTTAGCATATTTTGTTTTCCCTGTTTTTAAGACTAAAAAAGGTAATGGCCAGCTGTCAAAATATCTGCTTTCCTTTCCTCAGATTTCTCTGTGCATTACCTCTGTTGCCTTCACAGGAGCCTTTCAAAAGAGGGCTTCCAGCTTCTCATTTTGGATGTTTCATTCTTTTCCTGTCTGTGCAAGTGGTCTTTCATAGGCATTTCTGCATTCTGCCTTTTCCTTGCAAGCCCTTTCCTCTGAGCTTGCAAGAAAAAAATTTTCACAGTCATCTTTATTCCCTCCAGACAGTGTCCAGAGAAACCCTAAATTCTGGGAAGAACGACTTGCTTTGTAAGAGAGTAGCATCCACTAGTGATAGCGAATAAAACCTGACCGAAGTTCAGAGAGCAAAATATGTGTTTCTGTGTGTTTCTTGAGGCTCCTGCTCAGCACCAAATCAGCAACTCAAAAGTTTAAAAAAAAAAAAATAGTACAGAACTGCGATGCTTTGAGTCACAGACTTCTCTGAGGATTGTGTGGGGAAAGTCTTCTTGCCAGCTCTGCTGTTGACCACCACACTTTGTTACAGTGTTCCTGGGGCAATGTAGATGTATGTTCATCAAAATTTGGGTTTCTCCAGGCACTGTTCTGTTTTCTTCCTTCTCAGAGCTACCTCCTAAGATGTTACAGTAGAAGGTCTTTGGGGTTTCTGCTATGGTAAAGGTTTCAGAGAGCTCTTTGGAAACTGAGGAGTAAGGTTAGCCATGAGGTACATTTGCCTCATACAAGCCTTTGGAATTGGTCAACCATAATATTGTTGCATCATCACAAAAACAGCCTTTACTTTGAATTTGGCTTTTTCTGTGCAGCTGTATCTGAACATAAAGCACCAGGTCAGAAGTATCTTGAATTTAGGTTATAAGTAAGGACTCAGTGGTTCACAAAACTCAGAGCTAGACTGCCACAGTTTGACTGACAACCTGTACTTTAATTTTTTGTAACAAAACTGTGTCACTGAAGTAAAACTTGGAATGGGTTCCTAGGCCCTGTACTGCCCAAAGATCTGAACTCTGGGGAACACACTGGAGAGGCACATCCTGAGGAGCTAAACTGGGAATTATTCCTGCCGTCTTCTGAGACAACGTCTTGTAGATCTGGGCAAGTCCAGTATCTGTGACTTAACATCCCAAAATCTGAGCTGGCACAGAAAGCTGGTGGAGTTTGGTAGCAGGTGATGTTTTTCTGCAGCTGGAAAGCCATACTAACAGATTTGATCCATGTTATTTATTGCAGCACACCTGTCTCTGATGTGATTTCACTGCACTATATTTATGTGACACGAATCAGAGGGGTTGAAGTGTACTGCCCTCTGGACCCACCTCCGCCCTACGAAACTGTATGCAGCTTAAAAAGCTCTGAGCAGGTATGGGCCACAGGAGTTTAATGGCTGATTTGTTTTTTCCACTCTGAGGGAGAGGTTGCATTCAAGCATGGTACATGTACGTCAGGAGGATACATTTGATTATTAATGTAAATTTCATCAAACACTTTAATTAATCACTTACCTCTGGAACTGAAAAGTTTTCTCCAGTTGGAAAACTGCCTAGGCATAAGGAGAAGAAGCAGAAAGCAATGTGGAGCACACCTGTTGCTGGTTATTCTAAAAGACCTCCATGCTTTACTTCACTTACTCTGCCAATGAGGGACTAGGTCAAGGTTTTTTGCATCATTGGTTATCCTTTTTCACTAGTGTTTTCAAAAGATATGCACTTTTCCCCAGGAAATACTGGATAGGATAAAATTCACTGACCTGGATGATGAATATGAATATAAGACATGCACTGGCCTTGATTTTGCCATGGAATTAAACTCATATCATACAGTCTCTGTGTAGTTAAGAACAGGTATTCCATTTCTAAGGTGAATGTTGCAGTTCTTAGGAAATACCAGAGAAAGATGGTGACTTGTGATTTTTCAACTTTTGCATTTTATTCCAGGGAGGTGCACTTCAAATAAATGGCATGGAAGATGTTGATTCAGGGGAAGAAAGTGACAGGCAGTCCTCGCAAGGTAAGAAGTAATTTTAATGTTTGTTCTAGAATGTTCTCTCCAACACATACAACTTAATGCAGAAGCAGCATTAGTTCTTTGAAAGACAGCCACCATACTGCAAACCAGAGATACAGAATCATGATTGTTTTGGAGGTGGGGACAAGGATTAAAATTTAAAATGTTTAAAAGCATAACAAGTTGTTTTCATGCAAGATGCAAAAAGAAGGCTATGTCTCCTTTTTAGTAACCTAAAAGTTAGTTTTTGAGATTATATCCATATGTTGCAAGAAATTACGTCCAGCTGCAGTGCTTCCATTTGCTTAGTGTATGTGATGGGGCTTGTTAACATTTTATTGCTGGTAAAAGTAGGAAAAGGATAGAATAATGCAGTACTGTGTGGAGCTAAATTGGGAATTACTCCATTATCCAGCCTGAACTGGAAGAATTACTAAATAATTTCTGCATCCTGGTACAGGAGATAGCTAAACTACTGTTAGAGACCACATCAAGCTTTCCTCTGCACTGTTTTAGAAGACCATGCCTGTGGTTCCAAGGCTTTTTAGCCTAATGTTTGTTGCAATGTAGGCTTGTAGCTGAACATCATTAGCTTCCAGCTTTTCCAGTACAGCCCAGGAAATATGTACCAGTTTTCATCTGGATTTGGCTATTATAGCAAGATTGTCTCATTTGCAATATCCACACAAGAGAGTAAAGACTGGGGCAGGGGGAACGCCCAAATCTTTTATTTGATTGTGACCTGTCTTCTGCCAACCTACTTGTTAAACTGTAAAAAAAACCTTGGGTTTGAACTGCATCAGTTGGAATTGTTGCTGTTATATGGAGTCAGGGAAAAAAAAAAGAGTTTGCATAAATTCATACTTTAGCCAAATGTCAGCTCTGTCAAGATCCCCTTAAACTCTGACAATCTGCCTGAAACCTCTGAAAACAAGCACTTGGGTGCTTCTGATGTCTTGCCAGCTGTGATAATCGGCATGAAACCTTTTGCTACAGATCCTCTGGATTTCTTTCTCAAAGCTTTCTTACTGGCAAAACTCCTGTTGCTTTCTCTGAGCTTCCTGCATTTAAACAAAAAGAGATCATCAAATACAAGGATACATGTTAAAAAGTTACAAGGACTGGAAACAGGAATAAAATAGCATAGAAAATGCACTTGCAGTGAAGGACAGTCAGGAAAGTATTTTGTTTTGTCTTGTTCTGTTTTGTTTTGTTTTGAAAAAAGGCTCTGATAAGATATTGTTTGAGCTATTTGTATTTTAAAATTTCTTCTGGAAAAATCAGACCTACTTGAGCACATATGGCATAGGGTACCCTCTTCTCTGTCATCCTAACTGGTTTGTCCAGTTTGTTTTTTTCTTAATAAAAATGTCTGTAAAGAAACGTTTAATTATCAGCCTGCCTGTTACATTCAGATAAAAAAAGAAAGTAAGCCTCTTAAGAAAGAAAATTAATACTGCTGCTTCTTCTAGATGCCAAGGCTTCCTAGAATTTAGAAAAAAAAGAAATACACAGAGCAGTATCTCTTCCTTTAATTAAATTTGGAGACGTGTACTACATCTGGCTGGAATGGAGTTAATTTCCTTCATAGCAGCCTATGGTGCTGGTTTGGATGTGTGACCTGGGGGGAGTGTTCCAGCGTTGTCACTGTTCAGGGACTGGCTGGGCATCAGTCAGCTAGTGGTGAGTCAGCTAATGGTGACTGCTTTTGGATCACTTGTTTGCCTTTGAGTTTTTTGGGTTTTTTCCCTCCCCACCTCACTCCAGCTGTCCTTATCTCAGCCTACGAGTTCTGCCACTTTTGTCCTTCACTTTTGTCCTTTCTCCCCATATCACTGGGGAAGAGTGAGAGTGACTGTGAGGGACTGAGCTGCCTGCTGGGCTTAAACCACTGCAGGAGGGAAATATAAAATGGGGGCTTACGTCGAAATTGTGGCAGAGGAGGTCTGTGGTCTCAGTTGATGCAGTGTAGCAGTCTATAAATAAAACTTGATCTTTCAGTTTATGCTGGCAGGCTGTCATGTCAGGGCATTTGTGTCTGATGCTGTGATTCTCTTGGCATCATCCGGGCTGATCAACTGATCATAACTTCCTATGGAAGTTAAAGCTGTGGACTACTCTGCCAGCAGAGTGAGGGGAATTCTGACTGCTGTCTGCAGGAGGAGCTCTAAAGATTCTCTGTGCCAGCTAAAATTGTTTTACTGACTTCATAATCACTCCTGCGGGACTTTCCCTGCTGACTGTAGTAGGCAGGCAATGCAGCCTTTTGCTGGTGGCAAGAAGTGCTTAGTAGCTGCTCTGTATCATCACAAACTAGGTTTGTGTATGCATTTCCAGTACACACCGCTATAAGACAATTATCTCTCTGAAACATTAACATTATTAAGGATTATCTTAAGATCACAAAATCTATTGATGAATCTGTTTGAATTAAAAAAAAAAAAAAAAAAAAAAAAAAAACCCAAGCAAACAACCTCTCCAGAGTAACAGCAGCATTGTACCTCCAGGGCTTACTGCTAACACAGCTCCACTGGTGTTGAAAAGTTTAGATTGGCGATGGTGGATTCTTTAATGCTGCATGATTCTTGGTCTGCCATATTTTGTTGCTGGGCCTTACCTTCTGATTTGCTGGGCTGGTATCTATTTTATATAGGTTGTATCACTCTTTATTCTCTTTAGAAATTCTAAGTTGCATTTGTGTAGATGATAAGGTGCTGTACTCAACATGTATATATTGTCAAAGCCTGAATTTTCTTGATGCTCCTGCCACTGCCACATACCTGTTAAGACTGTGTTCTGAATAAAAGACTGTTTACATGAATTGGTTTAGTACTGGGTTTGCATGACCAAGTTTTGGTAGTGGCAGGGAAGCTGCTGGAAGGTTTGAAGCTTCCTCTGTGCTTGGCAGAGCTCCAAAGATGGACCTGCTGCTAGAGAAGGCTGGACCAGTTAGAAAATACGGTACCTCTGTGATAGCGTATTTAAGAAGGGAAAAAAAGTTACTTTGCAGATGTATTGGTGGTCAGAGAAGAGCAAAGTGCGACTGTGTGAGAGGAAGAGCCTGCAAACACCAGGGCCAGTGGATAAGAAGGGGCAGGAGGTGCTCCAGGTGCTGGAGCAGAGATTCCCCTGCAGCTGGTGGTGCAGCCCATGGAGAGGCAGCTGTGCTCCTGTAGCCATGGAGGTCCACAGGGATACAGAGATCCACCTGTAGGTCATGGAGAAGCCCTGCTGGAGCAGGTGGGTGTGTGCAAGAAGGCTGTGAACCCGTGGGAGGCCTGTGCTGGAACAGGCTCCTGGCAGGGACCTGCAGGGCCATGGAGAGAGGAGCCCATGCTGGAGCCGGTTTCCTGGTAGGACTTGTGACCCGCTGGGGGACCCACACTGGAACAGGACTGACCCCATGGAAGAGGGACCCACACTGCAGCATTTTATGTAGAATGTTGCCTGTGGAATGGACTCAAGCTGGAGAAGTTCCTGGAGAACTGTCTCCTGTGGGAGGGACCCCACACTGGAGCAGAGGAAGGACTCCTCTCCCTGAGCAGCAGCAGAAACGTGTCATGAACTGACCATAACCCATGTTCCCTGCGCCGCTGCAGGGCAGAAGATAAAGCCTGAGGGAGGGATGGGAGAAGGTGTTTTGCCTGTGATAGTAATTGATGAGTGATCTCTCCCTGTCCTTATTTCAAGTAATGAGCCTTTCATTATATTTTTTCTCCCCTGTCCAATTGCAGAGGGGCGTGGCTGTGGCATCCAGCCAGGGGCAGCCCACTACAAATTTTTTAACTCCTGAATGATCAAGATTGTTTTTTGTAATATGCCAGGTGCCACTAGATGGAGGTACAGAACCAAGCTTAGTGAGAAATGTACACAGCTGCATCCTGTCATGTTCATTAAATTGCAGCACATAGTTTCACTCCTCGGAAAAGGAGGAGTGGGAAGGATATAGCATATCACAAGAAACCAGGAAAATATTTAAGTAAAGATTTTAATACTTTTTTAGGGACTGGTCTCTGATTTACAAGATACCTAATTGCAAAAGTTGACCGACCTCTCTGACTGTATGCTGTCATATCTTGGTACAACTGCCTATAAGCAGAAGGATTTGGGGCTCTGTGAGATTCAGTTTTTCACCAATAAAGCTGTAGTTCCCTCCTCTCTGATCAGGTGGTTTAAGGTGATTTTTGTACTAGACTGTAGTCTTTTGCTACCCCGGTTGCATAAGGCTGAACAGGTTTTTGCAAATATTTAAACAAGTTTTAGACCAATGTTACTGTTCAGCGTGGTCTGTGCACACATACATGCACCTCTAGACCTTTGTGTCCAGTCACTACAGATTTGCAGATTTCCCCATTACAGATGGGGGGAAAAAGTCAGTCTAATAATGGCTTCTCAAGATCAGCTTTATTTTGACTACTTCTACTTCTCTGTTTCTGATTATTCAGCTGAAGAAATTCGGGAGCCTTCCAGCAGAGTGAGCCTTTCCCCTTTAAATGCAAGCTGTGTGCCTGCTGGAGTGAACAGGAGAGCCTTCAGTCCCTTGCGGAAATGTTCTAAAAGCGACCCTGCGCTCCTGCACTGCCAGCCGCCTCAAGGTGACTCTGTTTTCTCTGTCAGTGATTGTGTAATGGTTCTTTAAAAGAACACTTCTCAGAAGTTCGGTACATTGAACCTAGTACCTGCAGAAATCAGCTTCTGTTTCCCAGCAGAGCACCTACATAACAGTACTTCGTGCTTTGCCAAAACTTCTCCACCTAACTCCTTAGTCTTGCTGCTCTTTAGGTTTTCATATCTAGGAACAGGGTCTGTAGCAGGGTCTGGGTATGAGGGAGGGGTAGTGGAAAATGAGAGAGAGCATGCAGGATTCCTCAGTGCACTGACATCTAAAGTCTTACAAGTGCAGTTGTCAGTGTGAGCAATTTAAAGCAAAATTGGCTTGGGGATTTGGTATTAGCCTATAAACTCTCTCCCCTTTTCTCAGTCCTCATGTTGTCAAAAAAAAAAACCCTGAAAAACTCAACACAACCCATGGTGGAGAGTTCATGAAGTTGCTTTGGTGTCAGTGATCTAATTCTGTTAATGTGGGAAAACTGCTAATGTGACTACACAGTCCGTGATACTGCTGACAGTCTTGAAAAGTGCACCAGTCAGGGGTCTTTCAGTTTTTACCAGAGGATACTGGAATCCCCACAGTAACTGCTGATATATACCAGCACTCAAAATGTAAGTGCCAAGGGGCATGTTAGTAACAGCCATTTATTTTGGATATTGGGAGCATGCCCATCTGGATTACACTTGCTGATTTTGTGGGATGTTTTCATGGTTCCGCTGTATCATGTGCTTTTTCTTGTCCTCCTATCAACTTCCACCATGGCAGCCCAGAGAATCTGCTGCTGAAGCAATAGTTACATGACACAGAGCCTATTCATAGCTGTGAAAGCAGAGTGCTTCTGCTGTACAGAGACCCCATGTCAGGAGGATTTGGAAGCTTTAGGCTCGGTGTTACTGAGGTTAGGTCTGTTCAGCAGTTAGATCTGAGTTAGTCACGAGTGCTGCAGAATAGGAACTCACTGCAACAGAGGAATTTGCTTCAAGTTACTGCTCTTCTTGCTGGGAAGTTTTGCATCTCCTAACAGTTTTTGGTCTGAAGCCAACATTAACCTGCTTCTTGAACAATCTGTAGGTGTGGTTTTGCGTTTTTTATTCCTTTTAATGGGGTCAAAATTCGGTAACTTTTTTATACCAAAGGTAGAATTTTTGACCAAAGGCAGTGAGATTGATTCTGTATTGCCCTTTGTTTAGTCCTTGCAAGGAAATTTTGAATGTTTTGGTGTGGGTTAGGTTGTTGGAGTTTTTTTCCATTGAATTTCTACTTTGTAGTATTATTAGCTTCCAGCTTGGCAGGTAGTTGTTTTCAGGTACAACTTGTCCTCTTGACTGCTAGTAACTAAAAGTTATTAAGAGTTTAGGAGACATCATAAAAGCCTTCTACCTTTATGTTTACATTAACACTCAACAGGCATTTCAGGTCTCTTCAGATCAGAAACGAGAAAGAAAACAGACGTACACAAAATGACAAAGGGGAAGAGTCCCTCCAGACGCTTTGACATGTTAGCTATGTATGACTATTTTACAGGCATTTTATGTAAATCCAATAGAGTGAGCCTTCCATACCTCCCTGACCATGCCAGACTGTTAAGTTGTACAAGGTTAAACCATGCATTGCATCCTCATTGAATGAGGAGGGGAATCTCCGGGAATTCCATTAACTATGCGGATTGTTTGCTTTGTTTCATCTTTGTCTTCAGGGACAGTGCTCAGCTGTGAAACTGCAACACTCAATGATGTAAATCCACTGAACGCTGTCACCTTGCGGAAGAGTTCAAGAGCAAGAGCTTCCAGGGGAAGACCCCAGTCTCTGATAGATTATAAGTCCTACATGGACACTAAACGGCGTGTGGCATGGATCCTTGAGCAGTCCTGCAGCATGAGCCCAGACATACATGACTTGGTGGAAAACATCAAATCTGTTTTAAAGTCAGATGAGAAACACATGGCTGAAGCTGTCACCAGTGCCACTTTCCTTGAGCAGGTAGTTTTATTACTTGTACTGATCAGATGATGTGGAAACCCACTGCCCCTGGTTGGCAAATATAGGTTTCCATTTGCCAGTCTGTGTGTCAGAGTTTTTGGACCAAATTGGCTTCCTTCAGTACTTCAGTTTCATGTAGGGAGTGTGTGAGAGGCTGTGACATTTTCTGCTCTATCAGCTAGAAGCCAGAGTATGTGTGTATTTAAAAACTGAGTCAGTCTTCTCTTGAGGAATCATGAACTGTAAATAACATAACATCATGTTATACTGAGTGTGGCAGGAGAGAGGGAGAAGATGCTATAAATAAGCATTTGCTATTGCAAACCAGAAGGAATGGAGGCTGACAAGGAAATTTTTATGTCAACCCACTAGAAGCAACTTTTTTGTGATTGGCTCCCAGGATAAAAATAAGACCTAGTACTAAAGAAAGAAAAGCAGAAAATAGAAAATATGTGCTTACATTAATGGAATTAATATCCAGAAGTATCAGACACTGCAGACTTCATCAAACAAATGTTTTGGTAAGTTACAGACCATTTGGGTAGATAAATTGATTCATGCGTAGCACAAGTGATTTGCTGTGACAGCTGGTTTTGGTTTGGGTTCTCATGCAAAACACACCAGTGGCATTTAGGCTCTGCAAATAAAGTGGGATTTCCCACTGCAGCCTTCAGGCAGCAAATGCCTTGACAAATTTGACAGAAACAGGAGGGAAAAAGGCTCCTTACGAGAATTTAATTTATCACACAGGCCTGAAGGTAATTACAGTTCAGTAGCTTCTGCAAGGAAGCAACATTTAGGTTCCTTCTATAACAATACCAGACATGCCATAGGTTGGGGTGAGAGAACTCCTGTGCACCTTTGAGGGGGAAACTAAACCAACCTAACAAAAACCCCACAAACAACAACAAAATAAAAAGTCACCCCACTCCTTTTCCCAAGTAGGACTGCTTTTCCCATGCCTCCTTGGCAAATTCTAGGGGTTTCATAGCTTTCTAAATTATTCTTTAAACATAATAGACAACACTATAAGTAGCTTCTTCCTAGTTGGGTAAAAAAACTATTTTAATGGAACAAGAACCAGAAAACAAAACTGATTTAAACTTCTCTTTTCCTTTTAAAGGTGATGACACCTGCCGAGCAAGCCACATCATTGAGAGTCCATGTGTTACCTTCCAGATTGCAACCTGGATTGCTGTACCTGGAGAGCTGTGGTGACCTGAGTACTTTCACCACAGAGGGGGAACAGCTAGCAGAGCGGAGAATCCAAAGAGCAGAACATGAACGGCCTCACAGTGTTATTGGTGTTGTCAGAGAAACTGTGCTTTGAGCTGGCTTTTTGGTTGTTCCTCAGCAGAGCCAGGGCAGTTCTGTCATATACACATATGGCAGAGGAAAATCATCTCTGGCAAGTGGGTTTGTCAATAATCACCTTCTTTTTTAATACTCCTAAGCACAGACTCCAAGGGCAAAGATCATTCTACAAAGAGTAATGAGCAGATTGAAAGCTGACATTTACTGGGCTCTCAGCTGCAGCTCATCTGTTTGTGATACATTGGTGCCCTGCATCTCTGTGAAGTTTGGTAACATGTAGTTGTGGGGTATGATGATACATCATCCTTATGGAAGGAGCTGTCAAAAGCAGTATTGAAGAACTTCACAAATTTTTGGCACTTTAGTTTAAATTAAAATCTCCTGTCATAAAATGGAGACCTTCAGATACAAACGAAGTTAGTAAAAAAATGGTGTACAGAATTCTAAAATTACTCTTTATACAACAAGGTTGTTGATGTGCAAACTGTACTAAAAACAAAACCTGTCTTGAAGAAGTGCTGTTTTGGCTCAGTGAACTTCTCTCTTAATGGCAGAACATTATTTTTGTCTTAATGATGGAACAGCATCCAAACCCAAAAGCACAGGTGTTTTGCAATGGGTGGTGCTGGCTTGTTACTGTCCTGGGAAGAAAGGCACTCTTTGTGTAGTCTCATTTAAATGCTATTTGTTACAGCAGGTGCTATGAACAAAGAAGCTAGTATGGCTAATTTTATACTCCTTCAGGTGCTGGGAACCCCAGATTGTGCAGCATCAGGAAAGGCACAAGTTATGCAGATCCCACCATTTTACTCCATTTAGGTCATCTGAAGTAATTAAAAATTTTCTTAGAGAAAAACTCTACTCATCACTTCTACAGTCAAACAGAAGGGCTGTTCACATGGGACTGCTGCACTTCTAGACAAAGGCAGGGACACACATGTATTGCTGGATGGTGTTTAGCATTTTGAGTACCACTGGGGCTGCCTGCAGGCTCCTTTCTTAAAACAAACCACCTTAATTTATTCTGTGGCCAAGGGACATCCCTGTAGGAGCAGCGCAAAGCACAGCACAGGCCTGGCCCTACTCAGGCAAGAGGCACATGGATCACAAACTCTTTGTGTACCATCATTTTACGTCAGCATTGCTCCATATGCTTCTGCACTGAACATTTATTTAAATTACAGTCCCAGCCCTGACACTGACTGTCAGTCCACGCAGGTCACCAGCATCACCTCTTCAGCCTGCAAGGCTCTACAGGGTGCTGGAACTGGGGTGGGGTCTGCTTGTCTTCTCTGGGGATCCCAGCCATTAAAAACACTGAAGGAGAGGGCAAGAAACATGTCCCCCGTGTATATAGCAAATCTGCTGAAATTTTTGTCTGTAAAGTAAGGGCTTATGGTTATCCACCAAAATACAGAAAAGTTTGTAACACCGAAATTGGTATGTACAGATAATGGTAAGAATAAATAGGATGATGGAGGGTGGTACACAGGGGAATGCAGAACGCAAGCTCAGCCTGTCTACTGTGCCCTTTACCAGGGACTTCCCAATTGCTTCTGTCTGTCATTTAAGCAACTAAGGTGAAACACTTCATTCTCTCTTGTTGATGGTGTTTGTATTTCATGTTATGAACTAAATGGCTGAATGCCCATGTTTAGCTTTCTTCTGAATCAGCTGTGGCATATATTGCCATTTCTGTGCTTTCAAAGTACTCATGAGAACCTATGAGGCGCAGAAAATCCTATGAAGGCTCACCAGAAGAAACACTCCCTGGATGGCTTTTTTCTGGTTGACTTTCAAATATGATCGTATTTTTCATAATCTCTCATTATATATTTTTATTTTATTATTATATATTTAAAAAATATATTTTTAACCTTAACACAGGCAGTTGCAGGATTAATTCTAGGGACAGACATATCACAACTCTACTTTTTATTTATTCAAATGGTGTTAGGTCTTTAATAATAAATCATGCTGATGACATTGAAAGGTAAACTGTGATTTCAGAAACTACTCTTAAATGTGAAGAATTTTTATCAAAGCCCCATTTATGAAAAGTTGCTATTTAAAGTTATTCAGTCAAATAAATAATATTTCTGTCACAATCACATCAGTGGCATTTCACACAGTAAAAACTGGGATGCTACCTTAGATTAGGAATCACCTTTGTTTAGGAGCACTAGTGTCATGTATTGCCTGAAAAGAATGCTGTTTTAAAAGGTAACAGCATTGCTTCACTGAAGCCTGCAGAAACACAGATAAGAATTACTCCACACTAAGTGGCAGAAAAGAAGTTCAGACACCTTCCAATTATGCATGCATTCAGCATTGGCAAGTCAGCCTCTAGGTCAGTATGAGCAAATTCTCAGCCTTGTCTGAGGTACTTTTGTTTTGTAGTTTATTGTTGCAAATCTTACAGACATTAGCGCTCTGTTAAATAAAGGAACGTAGCACAGTAAATACATCACAACAAAATAACTGGCCAGAAACCCCTTACCCATCCCCTGCAAAGCAAAAAGCCCACTCTTCTCCCCTCTGTCTCTCCCCCAAATCAAACCAGCACAGCTTCATTAGAGAGGTCAGAGACCTGTGGCAGGAAACATCAGAGTAATTACATTCAGTAGATGTGCAAGATCAACATTCCAGGCTCACATATATTTATATATATATTTATATTTTTATATAGAGATCATTAAATGTTTACAAAGAACAATATTGTTACAAATACAATACTATGCTTTTCCCAAAGCTTTACAATAATTTCTATTCATCCTCTTTACAGAACAATAGTACAACTTCATAGTCTAGGTACTGCGCTAAATATATACAAGAGATCTCAACCATGTTGCTGTCTTGAGAAATACATTTCTTTTAGAAAAGAAGGAAAGCTAGCAAACTTGGAAATCCAAACTGAGACTCAAACAAGATTCAAAACAAACATGAAACTTCTCAAAAATAAAAAATACAAGGGATGTTTCATCCTTAATGTAAACACTGAAGAGTTAATTAGACTGTACGAAGCAGCAAGGATGAAAGAAAAAGAATTCAGGTCTGTCACTGAAGAAGGAATGTAAACCTTTGAAGGAATGTTCCTTTGCATCTGTTAAAAATCCCCATATCTGATCTATCAAACCGCTGCAACAGTCTAGAGAACAGCCAGCTTTCCCATTGGAGTTCCATTTTCTTGAAACTTTCTGTTTACAGAGTAAAATGGGATTGTTTACAAGACTGTTCTCAGAAGTGTGCACACACTATGGACCTCTCAGTTTAGAAATCTTATGCACATACTGTAACTGAAAAAACGAGATTTTTTTTTTTTTTTTTTTTTTTTTGCTAAGCTCTGGTCCTGCAAGCATTCATTTGCTTAATTTTAAGCACCTATTTAGGATTAACAGTAACTTCACAAACCCCCAGCTGCAAGATTTCCAAAGAAACAGTGGTTTCTTCTCTTAATACATTTGCATGTTCAGAATTTCCTCATTTCCCTGTGAAGTGAGCTAAAGACTTCACCACATGGGCTAGACATGGGGAAACAAGTGAAGTGGAGGGCATACACATAGCAGGAACCAGAAGCATGATAACTGTCTTCAAGAGTTCACTAAGTTTCTTCAGGCAATTTATTGAAAGGCTGCACTGTATATAATCTAAATTGTACATGGTTATATACCATATTTACATTTATTACTATATATATGGAAAGTTCTAGAAAAAAGGTTCAAATTACCATAAACCAGATGTCTACAGTTAAACAATATACTCACAAGCCATTAATTATCTTGTTGCATCAGTGAGGCAGCAGAGTTAAGTACTAACCTGGAAAACTAACACCATTTTGTTGTGCAATCCGCTATTCTGGAGCCTTGGATTAAATTATATAACAAGAAATGCAGTAAAATCAAGTTATTGTACATTAATCTCAACACTAAAACATATCCCCTTACTACAACAGTTTATGCACCACTTCATTATGTCCCTTAAATATCTGCTTCCCACAGAAATACGGTTCATCCTCTTAACTCTGATCAGGCCGTAGTTATCCGTGACTTTAGAAAGCCAAAAAATTGGACCCCTGACAAGAGTGCTCAGTGCTTCTCAGCAGTCTTTGCAACACGTGCACATGCACACACCCACTTCCATAAATCCCCATAGCAATGTCTAGGATCATCACTGGACTGCAAGCAACGCTTACATTGCACAGCTCACGTCACAACAAGTGAGACACAAGTGACTATGAACAACACCGCATTTGCAAAGCAGAAGTGGCGTGTGGCTGTGTGTGGTCTGCTCTTGTGTTGTCTGCTTTTTATCTCACTGAGCCTTTCCATCACAGCAAAACACAGCACAAACTGTTTGTTTAAAAGAAATCAACATACTAGCCTGGACTAAACGCATGGTTCAACTTCAGTATAAACACCAGTATACAGTCCTGAAAAAAAGTAACTACAGAGAATGTGGAATTCTCTCACTAGGAAGAAAAGACACTGCTTCTTTTTTATTTTGAACCCTCTTGAAAAAACCAAAGAACCCAACCCAGCCCCCTTTTCCCCTTTTGTCTCTAGCATGCAACTTAGAGGCTAATCAAATACAAGATTTCACACATCCCTACAGTTAATCATCTTCATACAAGTGCATATAGTACACACATATCTCTTGTAAGTGCCATACATATGGGAAAAAATCACAAGCTAAATTATATAACAAAATAAATAAGTTTATTCCTGCCTCATCCTTTCATCTGTTACCTATATCATGAACTAAACAGGAAGTCAATAAAATTAGACAGGTCTTTGGACAAAAATATATGTTAAAACTGGCTCAGAGAACAAAATTACTTAGAATAGTCTGCAGATCTCTTATATTCAAACTTCATAAATAGGAAGCACAATTTTAAAAATGTCTATATACACTGGCACACATGGCTATGTGCACCAAAATCAGAATTAAGAGCCTAGAAAAAGTGTAGCTATTCAGCAGATCCCCTCAATATTTTTCTTGTGGCTATTTAAAGATTTCCCCCCCCACTTCTTTAACCTCTAAAATCAGGAAGGAACTATGAAACACAAAGCTGAAGAAAACTAGGAGAAACCTGGGGGCAGAGAGGGGGAGGCAGCTGTAAAAAATGCCTCCCAAATTTCTTAGTGTAAGTAATGCAAGAATAACATGTTTTAGCAATTGATGGAGTATCTTTTGGAATCCTAATATCGTGAAGAACTGAAGACAGAGGGGAATTAAAAGGTGTGTATTTGGACAATTCATTTTACAACAGCAGCATTTACTGAGTCTTCATAAGCAGGCAATTTTTCCTGAGGGCAAAATAATCATTTTGGTATTCTACTTTCCCCACAGACACAAACCTTTATTACTGAGCTTGGTGCCTGTCAGAAAACAGGGCAAGAGAAGCAAAGTCACAGGCAGGATATCCAAGAGAACACCTTTTACCCTATACTTCTATCTATTTGGTAAAGTAATTTTTCATTCAGCAACATTTAATTTACTCAGTTTGTAAAATTACAACCACAGAAATAAACCTGATTATGTAGCATGAAACAGAGCCATCTGTGAATACTGCTGTAAACTGTGCTGCTGTTATTTTCCTGTTTTGCATGTGGAACTGTATGAAGTTTCACTTGTAAAAAGACACAACCAAAATAGTTCCACAGATACGTTTTGCGCCTTAACAAAATGCAGGAAAATGGGGGGAAGAAGAGGAAAAAGGGATGAAGGAGAGAGCAACAGTGTATTTGTATCTGTGATGGGGGGGAGAGAGAGAAAGAAATGTCTTTGCAGACACAGAAATGCACCACTACAGACACAAGCACTAATGAGGAAAAACATCTTCCATGCACACTGTGGTGGTGAGGTGTCAGCTTCAGATGTAAACTGGTTGCTCTTGTGCAGTCAACAGTCTGTACATGGCAGCTGGCATAGTCTTCATATGGATCTAGAGGAAAGAAGCCAAATTAATCGATGTTCCTAAAAATGCATACCTCACACGAAGGACCCAGATAAGGTCATACAAGGCAGGAAAAAAGGTAAAATGAGAGTTTTCATACCCTTATTAAACTATTGCAGGTGATGATTTTATGAAACAATATGTTTAGTATTGATGAACCATCTAAATTTGTTCACGTCATATTTTCAAGGTATGGTTCTTCTAAAGCACAGAAGTATGGGACAAATAATGAAAGAAATGGTGTGCAGGCTTACTCTCACTTCAGCTTTTTGGATTTGATTAGCAACGGGCCAATAGAGGTAGAACCACAGAATTATGGAACTTTGAATTGGAAGGGATCTTTCAAAATCGTCTAGTACAAACTGCCCTGTTGGAGGTTTTTCACTAGAAGAGGTTGCTTAGAGCCCTATCCAACCTGGCCTGGCACACTTCCAGGGATGAGGCATTCACAACTTCTGCGGGCAATCTGTTCCAGTGGCTCACCAACCTTATAGTGAAGGATTTCTTCCTACACTTGATCTAAATCTCTCCTCTTTCAGTTTAAAACCACTGCCTATTGCTCTGCACTGGAGACCCTGGTAAAAGCCTCTCTTCATTTTTCTTGGAAGCCCTCTTTACACATTGAAAGGCTGCTGCCAGGTCTCACTAGAGCCTTCTCCAGGCTGAGCAACCAAACTTCTCTCACCCTTTTCTCACAGGGGAGGTGCTCCAGCCCTCTCACCCTTTCCATCTGTATCTGCTCAAGCAGGTTTATTTGTTTATGTTGAGGGCCCCAGAACTGCACACATCACTCCAGGTGGGGTCTCACAAGAGCAGAATACAGAGGGAAAATCACCCCCCTGTTAGCCACACTGGTTTTGATGCAGTCCAGGTACAGCTGGCTTTTTGGGTTTCAAGTGTCCATTCCTGGCTCATGTCCAATTTTCCTTCCACCAAGTTCCTCTCTTCAGGGCTGTTCCCAATCCCTTTAGCCCCAGTCTCTCTTGATGTTGGAGACTGCCCAGACCTAGAGGCAGGACCTTGCACTTGGTCTTGTAGAACTTCACAAAGGTTACATGGGCCACTTTTCTAGCCTGTTAGGTCCCTCTAATGGCATCCCTTTCCTTAAGCACACTGATCTTGATGTCACCTTCAAACTTGCTGAGAGTGCAACTCAATCCCATTGTCTGTGTCACTGATGAAGACACGACAGACAGAGTTCTGGTCCCAGTACAGTCCCTTGAAGGACACTGCTTGTTACTAGTTTCCACTGGTTGTTACTGGTAACAGCAATGAACTCTGCTATACTGCCTAGACACACTGCTGGTCCTTACCTCACCAACAGCATTTGAGAGGATGTGAACAATCTTCTCATGGGGTGTTGCTACAACGCTCTGCCCATTGATTTCAATGATCCGATGGCCAACACGCACACCTCCTCGCTCTGCTATGCCTCCTCTCATAAGGCTACAGATCTGGAAGGGAGAGCACAAATTTATCATGGGCTGGATAAGGAACATCACATTTTTTGCCTGCAATATATGAATCAACATTTAAACACAGACTTGCAACAGCAAATTCTAAGGTGCAATCAATCACTGACTCAAAAGCAAAATTTGTTAGTAACAAGTAGCTAATGGATATTCTCTTCCAAGAGCAGAACAAACTGTCAGAAAAGGCTTTCTGTTGTACATTACATGTCTTGTAGTTTGGAAATCTGAATGTATGAAGGACCTCAATTTAATGATGTTCATTAGGCAGATGTCTTACAACAAAAAGGATCAAGAACACGCTTTTGCTTTTGAGATCATGCAATGGCTTGGTTAAAGACATGTATGATGCAGCATGCTGAAAGCAGACTCTTCCACATGTTTTTGGCTTTTTAAGCTGAAACAACTTTTTTATTCCTCTGACTGTAAATTTGTGAAGAAAGTAGAGTCAAAGACAAAACCTCTTATTAACACAACTTTTATATCTCAGATTTCACAAATGCAAAATCATGTTTGCTGTAAGGGAGAAAATAGCAGCTTCTCTCTTCTCACACTGAAACTTAACCACAAATAGAGAGAAAGTTTCATGTGTGTTAAAGCTTGATCAGAAACAATGGAAGCTACTTACGATCCCATTCTGCACACTGAAGCCCAACTGATATCTGAGGTCTGGTCTTCTGATCAAGACTGTGGTTACTGGAGGGCATCTAACTATGTTCAGTTTAACCCGGGCCTGGTTTTTCAAACCCTGAAAAAAACCCACCAAACTGAGAGTTAAACATGTAACATGAATGGAAAAAAAAATATGGTGTTAGAATGCTGACATGGGAGCAGCCTTGAATAAATAGATCTTTGTATGCATTGTACCAGAATCTGATCACTGAATGCCAGACACAAGCAACAGAATATTCATTGAGATGAGTGATAAAACATCAAATTTTTCTTGCCAAAAATCTGGCACAAAAAGCTGTTTTAGGAAAACTAGATTCCTGTTAGCAGTTTCTTCATTTGATAACAGAAATAATACATAAAAGGAGTATTAAAACACACATCTATGCAGCTCACCAAATGACCAATGACTTTTAAGTAAGTAGCTAAGTTAGTTACCAAACAGTTGCTTCCCTAATGAAATATACTAAACTCTGTCAAGCAAACAGTAGGTGCCCTTGTATCATCCTTGCATAAGCAGCTCTCACACAGTTTCCATTATTCACAGAATCACAAGATGGGTACAGTTGGAAGGGACCCCTGTGGGTCATCTGGTCCAACCTCTCTGTTCAAGCTGGGTCATCCCAGAGCACATGGCACAGAATTGTGTCCAGATGGTTCCTGAATATCTCCAGTGAGGGATACTCCATAGCCTCCCTGGGAAATCTGTTCCAGTGCATGGTCACCTACACTAGTTATTCCTTTAAGTTCTCATGGAACTTTCTGTGCATCCGTTTCTGCCTGTTGCCCCTTGTCCTACTGCTCAGCACCACCAAGAAGAGCCTGGTAGTGCTGCACAACACTTGGTTATCGGCCACTCCTTCCAGCTTGGAGTCAATGAACTTGCTGAGGAGGCCTCTGCCCCTTCACTGAAGACATTGATGACTGACTCAAAAAATACTGCACCAGTACTGAACCCTGAGGACAATGCTGCCTAGAGGTCTCCAACCTGACCCTGTGTCACTGATTATGACCCTTTGGGACCTGCCATTCAACCAATTCTCTATCCACCTTATTACTCACTAACCCAGTCCACACTCCCTGAGTGTGCCTACAAGGATGTTGAGACACAATCAAAAACCTTGCAGAAGCTGAACATCCACTGTTCTCCCCTCATCCATTCAGGTAGCTGTTCTTCCATAGAAGGCAATTATTTTAATGAGGCATGATTTACCTTCAGTGAATCCATGCTGACTACTGCTGATCACCTTATTGTCATTCATGTGGACAGAGACGGCCTCCAGAAAAAAGTGTCCCATCACTTTCCCAGGGATTAACGTGAGGCTGACTGGACAGTAGTTCTCTAGTTCTTTTTCTTGCCCTTTTGGAAGACCAGGGTGACATTTGCTTTTCTCCAGTCCACAAAGTGCCATGAACTTTCAAAGATGACGGCCAGGACCCTTACTATGGTGTTTGCCAGCTCTCTCAGCACTCATGGATGCATTGTATCAGGGCCCATAGATGTGTGGATTTTGAGTTTGCCTAGGTGTTCTCTAACTCAATTCTCTTTGACGACAGGAAAATATTCCTTCCAACAGTCCTTTACCCTCATTTCCTGGGTCAGAGATTTCTGAGGGTTGGTCTTGACAGCAAACACCAATCCAAAGGCACTGTTCAGTAACTCTGCCTTGTGTGTCCTCTGCCACCAGGGTGCCCCCTCCATTTAGTAATAGGTCCACTTTATCCTTTGTTTTCCTTTTGTTGTTGATGTATTTGAAGAAGCCCTTGAAGAAGCCTCTTCTTTTCTTTGACATCCTCAGACAGATTTAATTCTAAATGGGCCTTGGTCTTCCTTGTCTCATCTCTCCTCAGTCTGACTGACTCTATATGAATTCCAAGAGGCCTGACCCTGCTTCCATCACCTGTGTATCTCCTGCTTATGCTTGAGTAATGACAGGAGTTCTTAATTTATCCAGGCAGGTCTCTTGACCCCTCGTCTGACTTCTTGCACATTAGGATATATAGTTCTTGAGCTTGGAGTAAGTGATCCTTGAGTATCAACCTTCTCTGTCGAAGCTTGATACTGTCATGGGATACTGTCAACATCCCGACAGAGGCCAAAATAAGCTCTCCTGAACACCATGGTTACAATCTTACTTGCTCACAGGCTGGCCCCACTCTTCACACCTCCAACAAGCTCTTTCCCGTTTGTTGGATGAGGTCATGCAGCACACCCATTTCCTGTGGGATCCTCCACCATCTGTGACAGGAAGATCTCACCAGTGCTCTCCAGGAACCTCCTGGATTGTTTGTGCTTTTCTGTGTAGCTTCTCCAGAAGACATCAGGATAGTTTAAGTCCCCCACGAGAACCAGGGCCTGTGACATCAAGGCTGATTTGAGCTGTCTGTAGAAGGGCTCATCCACCTCTTGATGAGGCATCCTATAGCACACACCCACAAGTGTCACCCTTAGCTGTCTGCACTTTTATCCTAACCTTTAAACTATCTACTCACTCACCCTCTACCCCAAGACAGAGCGTGATACATTCCAAGTACTCTTCCTCTCTTCCAATTGAATTATATCACATTCACCATGAATTCCTTGCTACTAGAAGAAAATTGAATGAGAAAAATTTATTTTTATTGTCAGGGTGGTAAAACAGATATTACTCAGAGAGGCTGTGGAGTATCCAGTCTTGGAGTTATTTAAATCCCAGTAGGCACAGCCTTAAGAAGGCTGTTCTACTTTGAACCAAAATGTTGGTCTAGACCAGTTACAGCAGTGACTGCCAAACCCAGAGATTGTGTTCATAAGGCTCTGTGAAAACAAAAATGTAATAAACCACAAATAAATGCCATCTTGACCCCTTGTACGACTTTAAGTACTCAGAGCTCTTGGAGATTGCTAAGAGAGATTTTTGAAATGCTTAATTCACACAAAATATAAGCCCTAAATCTGTTCACAAATAAAATCCACATAAAGAATGAAATGCTTCCTAAAAAATACAGCAACTTTCAGCTCACTTAATTAAACACCTGCCAGTTCCAGTATCTGCTTCTGAATTCCTTTCATAGGTACAACTGAAATCTAGGTCTCACTGCAATCAAGGTGTCAGACGCTGACTTCAAATGATTAATTCTGGAAAGTAGTTTCTACTGTAGCTAAGGTAATATAGTGAAGTCTCTACACACAGTTTACTGCTGCTGATTCTGTTGAGCTGAGCTCCACATCCAGCAGTGACTTGAGTATCTAAACTGGCATCCTGGCATGATGAACTACCTTGAAGTCTGTTTTTTTTGTCAGTGCCTTACACTGGATGTAACCAACATTGGGTGCAAACAGTTGTTCAAACAGTGCTGAGCTCAGCTTAGCTCATTCTTGAAGGCTGCGGCAAGACAATAAACGGGTGTCTGACCACAAAATGACAAAGCTCACGGCCGTGGAACTGCCTGTACTCCACACTCAGGAGGAAGAAGGTCTGAACTCCACCTCTTCCATGGCTATGGACTCCTGTACTCTGGTGAGGAATTAGAAGTGCACCTCACATGCTCAAGGGCCATTCACTTTCTCCAGGCAGGTCTTGACAACACCACATACTGTAGAGAACAGGGACTTCTCAACCTGAACCACACTGTGGGCATGATGTTTGTGGAAAAGTCTAAGGGGCTTTTGATTCAGCGTTCTAATCCTGAAAAGTAGGAGTCATGCAGAGTATGGGAATGCCCATATGAGAAATTTAAGTGTCTAACTTCAGTCATCTGAATTCACTCAAGGTACATGCCCAGAATAAATCTGATATCATCATGTCCTTACTTCCCTGATGAATGTGCAAGTTACTTACGTGTATTCCCTGTGGGAAAAAAAATAATGTGGTCCCTAATGAAACACCCTTTTTTTTTTTACAAAAAGTGCATATATTGCAGAAGTGGGTAATCTTCAGTAGTATACAGACAGGTAATGTAAACTGATCAGAAACAAAAAAAATTGTATTTTGACGACCTTTCTTTATCTAATTCCTGAGTATACTTCTGATAGTAGCCAGTACCAGATGCTTCTGAAAAAGACAGAAGTAGCATAATCCTATTAGGGAATAGCCACAACACATGGAAAGCTTCTTCCAAGCTCCATCAGTTTACAACTGGTTTATGGTAAATTAGGAGCAGAGATTACATCCACAATACTGAATTATCTTGTTTGAAGTGCTTGTGACATATGTTTATCCACATAATATTATCATCTTTTCGTAAGAATCCTTCCAGCATACTAAGGAAATCTGAAATCTGGCATATTTCTACCCCATTTAATCATCTGCACTTAGATCATTCATATACATACTTGTTTCCAAAAGAGCTATATGAACAACTCCAGATGTGTGGTTATGAAGATCTGCAAACATACAGATTATCATCTCTTTAGAAAGACAGAAAAAAAGGCTGGCAGTTCCTGTGGAAACTGTGGTAAGTATCAGGGAAGAAGAGAGAGGCCTGCGGAAGCTAGAAACAGCAAAGCTGGTTGGTTCTGTATTGAGAAAGTACTGATGAGCACAACAAAATCTCCATCTGAATAAGGGAAGTATAACTTATCACAGTTTTAGAAATAAAAATGATGTGGGATAGGAAGCAATCACAAAGAGCCTAAATTTGCTGATGCTGGCACAAAGATATTAAACATGATTTTTCTTTTTCCTTTCTTCAGAAATGTAAGCCCGTTTTTGCCATACTTTCAATTTGTCACACATGCTATCATTTCTACTCACCGAATCTAAAATTACTTGTTCGGTGACTTATGCATCTATTACTTATCAGAACTCGGTATTAACATTTTGGGAAGCCTGAATGGAAAGTCTTTATAACAAACATCTCAGTTCAAGTATTAAGAGATAATCCCTGAAGAAAAAAAAAATTACTTTGTACTTTTTTTACCTTTGCAAATTTACCTTATAAATGGTAAATTTATTTTGCAATTAAAAAAAATACAAAGTGAAAGAAAAAAGCTACATAATACAACTTGTTATCAAAAAGTTGCCTAAATGCATAAGTCTAACAGGTACATTTCTAAAAATCAGGGAAGAATGTCTGTATAATGTACCACCATCATTACATCATGTGTCTGCATGTGATGACATCCAGAGCTAGGCAGGACCATTTCAACAAATAACTAATTTCAATAAATAGCTAATAAATAACTAATGAACTTTGTCTCAAACACTCTCTAGCGATGCATCTTTCCTGCTCTTTAAACACTGATGCTGAAATACTTATTCCTTTATATGCTACAGCTGCCTCAGGCACTGTTCAATTCCAGATGACCTGCAAGCTTTCCACTGTCACTTACTTTTCTGATAACTAGAAGAAAGCTCTTCCAGTTAAAATGCCTCATTTAGGCAAGTGAAGAGAAGGACCAAATACGAGAAGCACTTTGCAATAACTTGGGCAAAGATGCCACAGAGGGTATGTCTTTAAGCCGAAGTTTTAAAGCCTTAAAAATCGGTATAAACAAACAGACAAAAAAGCACTTGCGTTATTTCATCCAAATATTAAGAGGTATTTGACAGCTAGTAAGGCTTATGACAATATTAGGCACCTATGGCTCCATTTGTGATATACAATTTCAAGAGTGTACCTGGTAATATCTTCCTTCTGCACAAAATATTCCCTTGTGAAGCTGTGCACAGAGCCCTGGTACACAAGTAAATAGCACAGCAGTCTGGAATGGCACCGGATGCTGTCATTCTGCAGTTGATCAAGACTTTTGATGCTGTCTCTCAGGATAACCTCATAGCCAAGCCCAGGAAGCAGGTGGTGAGGTGGATTGAGAACTGGCTGAATGAGAGCTCGGAGGGTTGGGATTGGTGGCACAGGTCTATTTGGATGCCTGTGCATAGCAGTGTCTCCCAAACTTCAATACTGGTGGGCCCAATCTCATTTAACTTACCACCAGAGATGAAGCACCTCCTCAGCAAGCTCACTGATGACACAAAAGCTGGGAGGAGTGGCCGATACCCAAGCGCTGTGCAACCCTTCAGAAGGACCTTGACAAGCAGGAGGGGTGGGCAGAAAGGAACCTTCTGAAATTAAACAAGGGCAAGTGCACCTGCAGAGGAATAATCCCAGGCGCCAGCACAAGTTGTCCATGAGCCAGCAGTGCTCTTGTAGCCAAGAAGGCGGATGTTATTGAGGGGTGCATCAGGAAAAGCACTGCCAGCAGTTCAAGGGAGGTGATCGTGCCCCTCTGCTCAGCCCTGGTGAGGCACATCTGGAGTGCTGTGTCCAGTTCTGGGCTCCTCAACACAAGAGGGACATGGAGCTCCTGGAGCAGGCAGGACCTGTTGAGGGCTATCATTAGGGGATTGGAGCACTTCACTTGGGAGGAAAAGGTTTACAGTTGGACTTAATGATCTTAGAGATCTTTCCTAATCTAAAAAATGCCACAGTTCTGTGAAAGGCTGAGGGTGCTGGCCCTGTTCAGCACTGAGAAGACAAAACTGAGAGGGGACCTCATCGATGTAAGTATCTGACAGGAGGATGTCAAGAGGATACAGTCAGGCTCTTTTTAGTGGTCCTGAGCAATAGAATGAAAGGCAAAGGGCCAACACTGGTATGCAGGAAGTTTCACCTGAACATGAGGAAGAATTTCTTTCCTGTGAAGGAGATTGAGCATAGGAACAGATTTTCAGAAAAGCTCTGGAGTCCCATTCTCTGGAGATATTCAAAAGCCACTGACACACAATCTTGAGTAAGATGCTCTAGGCAACCCTGCTGGAGCAGGGAGGTTGGATTAGACTACTTCCAGTGGTCCCAACCTTACCCATTCTGTGGTCCTGTGGGGAGTCAGAAAATGGGTGTAGCATAATTCACACTATTTTTTCAGATCATGAAATGGCAAGTGCTATGCAAACATTTGGTAAGAATTTACTTCAGTTTTATACTTTCTGCTCATAATTTTAAAATGTGTAGCTTCCAGAAACATTTTCCCTACCTTTATAATGCTCTGACATGTTGAGAGTGGTAAACCAACCAAGCTGGTCCCATTGATTGACATGATCTGGTCCCCTATATTCAGCTTCCCAGACTTCTCTGCTGGTCCTCCATGCATCATGTTGGCTATGATAACTGTAGGCAAAATGGATCCCCAGCCAGACTCCACAATCACCACGCCTAGAATTTCTCCCTTCTGCTTTTCAATGTAAACCTGTATAGTAAGAAAAAAATGTTTTAAAAAGGTTTCTTTCACACCCATGAACTATTATCATTCCGCTCCAAACATTCACAAAGCCAACAAATATACCCATCTTCATTTGCAACCTGCCCTCCTAATTCAAAGGCAAACAAGACAGGGTACATGTTTTACTACCTTTCATTTGCATTCAAACATTAAATGACACACAATACAGATTTCGTGCTGAACACCCCTCAGAAGCAATTTCTGTTTATGAAAAGAAGAAATTCCAGTGAAGGAAACCCTGGTGCCATGGGCTTTGGTGGACAAAGCTAAATAAGAAAAGACTGCAAGACTTTACAACTTTGCACTGGAAAAACACTACCTGTGCATTCAAGTTGCACAGTGGTTTGTTTTTATTAAGCAAGCTGCAAAGCCTTCTGGCACATACAATTATTTAAAACCTGGAATCAATCATGTTCATAAACACCAGTGCTTCTATGAATTTTATGTTGTTCACTGTAATTTTTAAAATTGTATTAATCATTTAATCTAATTTAAATTCACTTTCAAACATGTATGAAAATTGATAAAAAGAACAGAAACAGATGGTTAATCAGCTGACTGCTGATAAATTTGGGGTTCACTGTTTGCCTCTGAAAGAGAACTGATGACAGGGTGTCCTATTAGGGAGGATATTCTAGACTAACTGAGATAATTTACAGGAAGTATTAATGTTTTTTTAGTTTCTACCAACACAGGCCTGCAACTGATAAAGAGTATATTTGTGGGGGGGGGAAAAAAAAAGACATACATCTTTGCAATTTTCAGATTTGGAGAAGTGAATCAGATCATCATTGTACATGTCCTGGGTATTAAGCAAGTCGCTATATTCCTTCTGGCTAAGATCTTCTGGGTTGATTCCATTTGCTCTCAGAAATTCTTGGTAGGCCACACTAAATGCTTGACCTATGGATTGTGCAATCAGCTGCGCCTGTAGCAGTTCCCAGAAAAGGGAGAAGAAAAGAAAAAAGTGAAACATTCTGATGGTCATGTCCACTGACACTTTCTGTTACAATCACATTGTAAAATGGATCATCAAGTTGATGAACCTACAAGTTACTGCAATCCAGTCTAAAAAATATTTGTGCCTTACAAATTAATTTTTAAAGACCCACAAAATCTCAACACTTCGGCTCTGCCATGAATCCAGCTCAGTAAGCAATTATAAATTACAAACATGAGAAAGACATCCTTTCACAGGCAATAACTGCTAATCTAAGTGTAAAGGTAGAGTCACTGCAGTGACTGTGGCTTGCACCTATAATTCTTCCCACATATGCTGCTCTCAAATGGCTCTCCCTTTCAGCAGAGGCAACGTCATTCGCTGTCAAGCCAGCAGTGAAAACAAAAATGTCTACTAGGAAACATACAACCACGTTTAAAAGGGTATTTTCAACTTTTCCTACCATCTTTTACAACATTGATAGTGACTACTCCTACCTCGGCCTCAGACAAAAGAGGAAAAAGGCAGCAACTAGTGACCAGATCAAACCCTAAAGTAACTGCAAATGGTTGTATACATCTCCTTCTTCATCCTGCTACTACCTTCAGCCTCTATACCCTACACCTATTTCCCTCCTTCCAACTCACACAATCCTGCCAGTTCTCTGCCTCTTTCCTACTCATTCTGTCCTTTGTGAGCACCCTCTTGCACCTGCAGCTTCCCAGCATCTTGTCTGCACCCAAAACCACCAAATGCACCTCTCACCACACTGCATTGCTCCCACCACGAACTGGTTTATTTCTGCAGGTGTGGGACTGAAACTGGGCAGCAGGCAGACGTGGGGAAAGCTGTGTCCCAAGCAAGGCCAGAGGGATGCCCGTTTTTGACACAGTAACCATTGTCAGGCAAGTAATGGGCAGGAGAGCAAAGCACAGCATGGTGCAGAGCACTGCTGTGTATAGGTGGAGAGATTCATGCAGTGAGCACTGTGCAGTGCACAGGAGGTGGCTATGATGTGCATTGAAACACAGTGCTGCCTGTGGCAAAAGCAGGGAAGAGAAATGGAGAACTCTACAGCTGACAGTGGAGGCCTGGCAGGGTATTGGTAATGAATGAATGCTGCTCAGGTGTACTTTTATACAGTCTGATGGCCATTTTTAAAGTCCAGTTTGATCCCTAATAAAGAAAAGGTTCCCAACACTGAAATAAAAATGTTGCTGTATCTTACACAGCTCAGACTAGCACTAAACCTGCTGATGAGACAGCATGATTGCTGGTGCTGAAAAGACCAATATATAGACTGGAAGTATATTACCAAAGCTAAGATCAACCTAACTTTGACAGCAAGGACAGCAAGAAAATGGGAAAAGTGCACCTCCGTAATTCAGTAACCTAAGTGAAGAGTGCAAACTTTACATTCATACACATGCATTTTCACTCCAAGAAGAGACCAGCTCCCACTTAGACACCTGGCATTTGGAGACATCAGTAAGGTTCAACTCATTTAAAGGTACACCTCTAAATAGTTGAAAATCTGGCGCTGTCCTCCTTAGACAAAGACACATCCAAGCAGAGACATGTTCTGGCCAACACCCACTCACAGGCTTACAGTTTCTGTTTCACTTACTGTATAGATTCTGCCAAGTACCCAGCTGTCCCAGAAGAAGAAAAGACAAGTTTTGTAATATAAACAGGCCATATGACTTCATTGGTGGTACAAAATCCCTGAAGCTGCCATTTCATTGCTGCTAACAAGGTGCTGCAATCCTTCCATTCTGACTGTTAGTCACTTCAGTATTTGAGATAAATTTGGCAAGTTACCTGTGAGCTATACACCATGACTAAGGAGAGTTGATACAAACTGCATTTTCTCAGCATATTTTCCCCATCAAGGAGCAATGCTTTTATTGGATCTACAGGCATTTTACAAGCCAGTTGGATTTACAGGCATAGAAAGGATCACACATGACACAAATACAGGCTGACCCAAACAAACCTTAGATTTAGAAGCTCAAATTTCAGCTAGCCAAAGTATTAACAGCAGCCTAGGAAACAGATCCGGGAAGTATGGATCGTGCAAAGCGTCAGAACACCCCATGGTGAAGGCAAATAAGTCCCAGACTCTGGCACCTGACAGTTTGGTTTCTGCTTTTTCAATTGGCCAGTAAAAGAGTAAGCAGTGTTCAAACTTGTGACTAGAAACACAGGAACAGCAGCCTCAAAGTGGGTAGCATATCAAATGTTATTAAGTAAAAAATACATTGGCTACTGTATTTCACACCAGATTCTTAAAAAGGCTTTGCAAAACAGGTTTACATGTTATTTTGTGGAAATAATCCAGAATTTTTATACTCTGTCAATTTTAGTCCAGGATTACTTTTATCATTGTTCGTCCTTACTTTTTAACTTCAGCACTGGGTCATGTATATACATTCATGTGCTATCAGATAATCTATTCAGACACAGGTTTAGAACAGATTACATAAAATCATTCATAAAATCAGCTCCTTATTCAAGAAAACCTTCCCATCTCAAAGTCCTTGCTGTTCACTGTAGTTTGGAAGACATGGAAGAAACTGGTATATTCACTTACTTCTCTTGAGTATGTTAGTTTCCCAGATTATTAGGACTAACTTGACTATGATCCTAAAAACTACATATCTAACCACTTCAATCTAGTACGTTTGATTTTACTTTCCAATAACTGAAAGTTACTTTTAAAAAGCACATAAAATCAGCAATTTACACACTGATTGTGAAGACAGGACATCAAGTCCTGTGTAAGGTAACTTAGACTTGTGTAAAGTACCTTAACTGTGCCATATATTAAAATTTAATCATTTGTATCTCTATTCAGCATATTTTGGGATTGCTGAAATCACAAACTTTCTTTGCTGGCTTTTTGATAAGATGACAGGAACTACAGCCCCTACACCAACCACCCAAAAAATAAAAAATCACCTTTCTGGTATGCGTCAATGACTGATCCTCAATGCAAGACTTGGGATTACAATTTCCCAATGAAAATAGGCACCTCTGATAGACTTTCCCTCTCTTATGCAAAATTTGAGCTGGTATTTGCAAACTGTAGAAACTGGACCCTCCTATCACTGTTATGGGAAGGCACTAAAGAAGCTATAAAAAAGTAAGCATTTCTATAAACACCAACTTCCATGACATGCCATGTCCAAACATCTAAGTGGCAGACAAGTTCCTCTGCTTAGATGAAATAGTGGGTGCAGTTAAAAAGCAAACAGGACCACTCACAATGGACTTTGGACCTATCAAAAAGTGCTTACTTTTCCACTCCTAGAAAACTACAAGACAATGTAATTGCTTACATCCTCAGACTCAAAGACATGGCAAATCATTTTGTACTGCCTCTTTCCATCTTGAGAGGGGTGAGATGCTTCCACATTATCCTGGGAGTTAGAGCGTGGCATTCGTCTACGAGCCATCAAAACAACTATATTTCCTATATCAGCAATGTAAGAAATGGTCCGCAGGGGATGATCCATCATGGTCTCCTGGGGAATAAGAAAACCAACATAATCAGCTGCTTCAACTAAGTTCTTATTGCACATCTAGTATTATCAAAACACACAAATAGCTGTAAGACCTCTGCTAGGTGAAGTTTGTAATACCTGTCATGCATGAAAGGAGATATAATAGAAACCAAGAGCTTCACCTTCCAAAAATAAAACAAAGAGAAAGTTTTACAGGGTTTTTTCTGTGGAAAAGGACATCAAGACCTCAACTGCAGAAACTGCATATGCTGGGCATGTATGTGTACAGGACTATAAACAAATTACTGCAGCTAAACATTTTGGGCTACTCTGGGCACAATCAATACTTGATGCAGCATGGCTCAGAAGACATAAGCTGACTGCAATTATCTTACCCACAAATTCTAGTTATTTCTACAGGCAGACACACCAGAATAATTGCTTGTATGACATGGCTCTTGACCATGGATTTCTGCCTAGAGGGGAATACAAGATCCAGCACATTTTAAAGACAAATTTTAATGTATGTGGAAAGTCTATTCCAGTAGTCTACTCCAACAATAGTAACAAAGGTGTCTATGTCTATACCTGTGTGTCTGCATTCAGTACTTTTATTCTCTGTGTAGAAATGAAGAGGTCCACTTCAGTCATGGGTTGAGATTCACCTTCTGGAGCCTGCAAATAAATGGCTTAGAGTCAAACAAACATGTTAGATAACATACTTACTAATAATGATGCTAGTTCACGTACAGGGGAACACTAAGACACAGTCACCAGAACAGCAATGCAGGATAGAGTATTAGACTGCAGAAGCAAAAGATAAACACAAAGATGTGGAAACTATATCATATATGTGAAAGTGAATTGGGTATTGTTTGAAAAAAATTTAACCTCATAAAAGCTTGCCTGCTGTTTTTCCTGATTCAGTAAAATTATACCTGACTGTAACATGAACTATAAAGATTTCTTGAAAAGCAGTATGATTTTACCATTTTCTGCACACTATAAATCCCACCTCAAAAAAAGGTTTTCATACAAGCCATAGAAAGGCCTAACAGTATCTCCTGCCTGAGGAATTTCTGTTTGGGCTAGCAGTGGTTGCCAAGACCAATGGAAAAACCTGTACCACAGGAAGTACTGTTTGAGCTGTTCATAATGCAGTTCTGGCAAGAAGACCTTCACAGTCAGACAACATACTTTTCAAGCAGTAACCCACTTAAGAAATAACGTTTTCTTAATAGAAAGCAGACATTTGTAATATTTTTAAAATTACATTTGTTAAAAAGTAGTTGAAAACTCCACAAACAGAACTTATTAGAAAGATGAGTCCATCTCAGTATGTATAGACATAAACTTTTTTTTTTGCATCCAGCAATTTGATATCTCTGTGAGTCAAACAAAGCACTCCTACATAAAGATTAAATTAAAATTATGAAGTTTAAAAAAAGTAGAAAACCCCAAAACAAACAAAAAAAACCTCACACTTCATTTTAATCCATCATTTTACAATGTTTAAACCTTTGCCATGTCAGTCCTGATTCTCTAATATGCATTTTAGGTACTGCCCATAACCATTTAATAAATCCAATCTTTCTTCTATTTCTAACATGAAATGGCTAATGAGAAGCAACAAAAAATGGCCAATCGGGCAACTGATTTCCCAGATATGTCAACTTGTATGGTGGCTCAGAAATAAATCTGAAAAAACCTTGCTGGATGCAGAAAATAAAACCACAAAATAAAAAGAAAGGGAAAAACTCTCCCAGAAAACAAAAGAACAAGCATAACATCAAGCTGATGGAGTTTGTACTGCACCTTCTTCCTGCTTTTGGCTAATTTCTGGGCCATCTGCTTAGCATGGAACAAACAGAGACAGGAGAACAGTTAGAAAAGAACTTACAGAGACTCCAACTCAAGCAGGAATCTACAAACTAATGTCAGGGCTCACAGACTATTAGCTGGTCTAAATTAGTCCCTGCTTAGATTAATTTCCTCCTTTTCTTTTTAGCTTAAAAAATTTTAAGATTTCATGTTTAGCACAATTAATTTCAGAAATGAAAAACAGCACCAAAAGAGTCAGGAAGAACACAAAAAGATTTTTTTTTCACTTAAAATTTTGTTACTTGCAACAAACAAGGTTATTTTGTGTGTAATTGTTTTTGAGGTTTGGTGGGGAGAGGATGGTACAAGAAACACAACAGTGCTTCCCCTCACTTACAGCAGTGTAAACCATGAAGTTATTTCTTCTGAAGGTACACCAATGTAAAAGGTGAGAGAAAAATTGTATGCCTTATTCTTACAGGTTTTTCAGATCTCGTACTTCATCGGACTTCAAAAAAATAACCTCCCTAACATTATGTTGCTTTTTCCTGGAAAAAATGAAATGACAGAAGGTAATTGTCACCTTCATTTTTTCCTCCTGAGCAAATAAATCAGTACCAATGTTCACAAAGTGAACTGGTCAACAAATTTTCCTGTGACACCTACACAAAGATATGTCCACTATCACATTTCTTGAAGCAAGCAGTGGAGCATGTATTTCAGATCCAGAAACACCTTAAAAGCCATTTCTACTAACAACCCAAACAAACATAATTTTTACGGTCTTGCAATCATGAATTCAAACCAATGGTGAACTGAACTTTACAGACCTGCTTACTGAAGGAATGGAATACTCACCAGGCTGGCAATTAGCCCTTAATTTCAACAGCAACAGGCTCTTTGCTAATTAAATTTACAGGTGTGCTCATGGTGGGAAGGAGGCTTATTGTTACAAGCTCCAGAGAGATTCAGCACTAGCTACTTCTACGAAGAGCAAACAGGAGGCCTGAATCATGAGACACATCAAATATTTTAATACTGATGCTCACAACTTAAGTCTGTCAGTTTTTGTCCAAACAAATCTGAAAGCAGCTACTTAAAGTTTAGGCCACACTGCTTATTTACAAATAGAAACATTCTCAAAATAGCTTTTAGTCACCTTTTTCAAATTAAGAAGTATTTTATAGCCTGATAGGTTGTTTTATAACAGATGATTGTAAACTATTGCAAAAGCAATTAAAACTGCTTTACATGGCAGGCTTTTCATTACATTATTCTCAATTTAAATTAATACTCAGAAATAATATACTTATATTGAGTAACACCTGCCTGTCATACAATGAGCAAGGAGGAGACCCTCCTGAGATAGAGCATTTAGATATTTTTCCAAAATCAAACTTTTTTTTCTCACACTTCCCAAACTTTAGAATGATGGATCTCCCAAAAGAAGAAAAGTACAGGCCAAAATTAAGAAAAAGGGGAAAAAATAATCCTTGAGCTACAACTTTACAATGCAAAATCAACAATTTATCAAAGTATACTATAATTCAATATACTGAAAATTCTGTTCTTCAAATGGAAGCATATTGAAAAACTACTTTCAAATATTTCATAAAATAAGGCAGTGATATGGATCAAGCACTTTTAATAAGTGATTTAACACTGCACGGAAATGTCACAAAATAAGATATGGTCCATGAACAACAAAAAAATTAGGATAATTCTATTCAAGATACTTTATTAGACAAATTCTCTTTATCGTGACATTATTTTCCTAACTCAAATCAAAGATTATTTCTGTATTCCTAGAAGAAAACCAAATGGAACATACCTAATCCACACAATTATTTTTTTTAATATCCATAATACAGGATTTTCATTTAAGGTAAGTTAAATGTATTTATTTATATAGATGCAATTTCCAAAATTACAATTCATTACAACCCAACAAGCTTCTGCTTTTGCTACAGAGAGGTCCTAAGTTTATTCAATCCATTTAGTCTACAAAAAATGTTTTGCAACTCAGTGAGCACTGAGAGGACACTAAGTGTGTGAAAATGTGTGAAATACTAAATTAAATATCCACATATGGGTTCTATCTTAAATTACACTGAGAAATTAAACCAAGTGTTACTTAGAAATGTTCAAACCTACCCCACAGCACGCTAAAAGTGCCTCCTAATGAAATATTCCTAACTACATTTGATGAACACTTTCAAAGCAGTGTGTCTGTTTTAACTTAGCTGGACTTCACAGGGATGAAGGCCGAGCAAGAAAACACCTAACTCTTGAACTTGGAACTGAAAAGATACTTCTTTAAAGAAGAAGCCTGGAGAATTGTTTTCAAAGTCTGTTCATATTCCAAATGAATGCATATGTGTTCTGGAGGCTCTGCTAAAAGGAAGCACTTTAGGTATTATTAAATTCAGATGGTATACACTTTTGTGAAGGTATAAATAGCAGAGCTTAAACAAAGCTCTTCACTTCTTTTTAATACTCAGCTTCATGTCTGTGTATTTTAAAACTCATTCTTAATCCATAAGCTTTGTTTTCTTCAACAGTGGAGAAATGGTTGACATGCAACAAGTATGGCACTCTGTAAACAAACATGAGCAGGGCACAGCCTTCATAGTCACTGTGCAAGCCATCATTTATACATCTGGGATATGGAATATTTGATACAGTGATGAATCTGGCAGGAGGAAGTCCATCGCTCATAATGAATCTCTCTCTGAAAACGTTTAGCTTTAATGGCAACCAGCAACAAAACCAGCCAAAGCCAATCCTAATAAGCCCAGAAGCCGAAGGTGCAGGGGGATTGTCTGTGCGTTACTTAGAAGCAGAAAGCAGTAACTGCCCAAGAAGTCTTCAAAGGTATTGTGTACAATACAATACAAGTCAATAATTTTCTGAAATATGTCAAGTTTCATAAAATTCAATCCAGCAGCTAGGGTCTTACCAGGTCACAAATGCTGTAACTTGGGCCTCAAGTCTGAGGCAAATACACTACAAGAAAGGATATGCATGCCTGCTGATTTACATAGATGCACAAATTATGGCATTAATGAGTGAAATGCATTAAATAGATTTCTTCTGTTTTGATGCACAAGAAATGGTGAGGCATAACAGAATCTTCAAAACAGTATTTTGTTAACAAATTTCTACAAAATACATTTCGCATCAGACAAAGATTCTATACTCTTAAAACCTCTTAGGCCTGGTTTGAATCAATTCAGTTTCGTTTTTGTCTACCACAACACTGCACTCTTTTTTTCTAATGTGTATTCCTATGCAAGCTTTACCTTCTAGGTGCAAACTCCCTGCGGTTCAAGTTCCACTCCTGATACCTATTTCCTGTGATAGCTGATGCTAATCTTTCCTTTCACCCTCCAGCGGCGTGTCCCTTCTAGATCCAGCCTCACCATTCATTGGGTTTTCCATTCATTCAAATAAGACAAGTTTTCTAACACACAGCCAAGCATCAAGAAGGAACACAAAGAGACTACTAAACATAAGGACACAGCCTTATTTGCCCAGAGCAGGAAAAAAAACAGACTCTATAATAAAAATTCTTCACTGCAGGTCTGGGGAGAACTCACCAAGACCTGCCATTGTTGAAAAAGCTGCATGAAATGTACTTTTAAAGAATGTCACTTAATCCAGAGTCGCCAATGAACAAAGATAAATCACGCTTTTGCAAAAGGTTCAGTAGTTCAAGGTAGTGAAGACTTCTACAGAGATGGTGGAGTATAATCTCTAACAGGAAGGCTACATTCCTGCCTTTTCTAAAATGTGAGTGTGTTTACGATTTTCAGAGACAAGGTTACAAGAACCTATGCATTTGAACGCTAGCAAAATCACAATTTTTAGAAGTTGTCTCAATGGCTCTATTTAGAGCTTCTGTGTCAAAGTTATATACAGAGACTAAACTGAACACTTGCCACGGAAAGCAGTGGAAGAAATAAAGAAATAAAAGGAGCAGGAAGCACCAGCTGACCTTAACAGACAATTATTGGTCTTGCTGATAACCTTCTCTTCTCTTCCTCTCTCTTTTATAAAACTGCGCACCAAATCTGGTTGGAACCCAAAATAAAATATACAAAAGAAAAACACACAGATATTAAACTAAGAAAAATTCCCAGAGTGGATTGTGTTGATTCGTGAATTAGCAGAAGATGAAGCTGTGTGGCTACTAGCCAGTCACATATGGGTAGAGGGAATGTTGCAGCATCCTGTACAGCTGTGCAATACTTCATCCATACACCTTAATTTCAGCTGACAGTGTCATAATTGTAACTTACAGTACAGCAGCATTACCACTGCTGGAAGTGGCCTGTACAGAAATCAGTTGGAATGTCTCTTCTGAAACAAAATTTTTCAGATTCCAGAACAAATTATTTTTTCCACACCTCTCTGTACCATCACAAGCTTTTTTTTTTTTTTTTGCTTTTTTTTCCTTTCAAATCAGCTCACAGCTGTTACATGTGGAGAAACAAGTGTCCACAACAGAGTCAAAAATAGCTGCAGTCACTACCACAGTAGCAGTGCCATTGAGTGCCAAGTCAGAAGCAATACTTACTAGTTATTTCCTTAACCTGTTTTCCCTCCAGACCCAGGTAATATATAACTTTGACCACCACTCACTTCAGATTCTGGTTTAGTGTAGCACAAGTATTCCCATAGCGAATTAAAATGACCTGGTAACATCCCCTTTTAAGTTGTGTTCCATAAGCAGCATATAGGATTTATTTTGCAAAGGAAAGGTGAGGCACCTTTCATTCTGAAACTACACAAAACTCCACCTGAAAAAATTACTGCATAAGAATGAAGTTCATATTCACAATCATAAAACAGCCATACAAGAAGCAGCAGGAATTACTCCTTACCTTGATCCTGCTGACAGCTTCCTGAGCCTGCATCATCCTCACATTCTTGGATGGAGTTTTATCAGAAAGGAGTTGAGTTGAACCAAGGTAATTGGCAGCAAAAATGATTCCATCAATTAAGTCTTCAGGATCGCAAGGTCCAGGAACTGTAATACAGGAAAGCCATCACTGAAGACGATCATGGTCAAACGCAGCAAAAGCAGAACTGTGACAACTTGAGTCTGCACCTGATGGCTGCAAATCCTCCTCTGAAGTACTTCAGTTTAGCATGAAAAAAAGGCAACTAGTACTTTCAAAGGCACAAAACATCAAACAAATTGTATCAAAATCTGTGGTGGGTTGACCCTGCCCACCAAACCCCTTCTATCGCTCCCCTCCTAAGAAGGGCAGGGGAGAGAAAATATAATGAAAGTCTCATGGGGCAAGACAAGAACAGGTAGAGATCACTCATCAGTTACTGTCATGGGCAAAACAGACTCCACTTGTGGAAACTTGTTTCATCCATTACTAAGAAAAGTCAGAGTAGAATAAGGAAAAATAAAAACAGATGCTATAACACCTTCCCCTATCCCTCCCTTCTTCCTGGACTCACTTTTACTTTCAATTTTCTTTATCTCCTGCACCTAGAAGTATAGAGGAATGGGGGCTGTGGTCAGTTCACATGCTGTCTCTGATGCTCCTTCTTCATCATGGGGAAGAGGCCTCACATCCTTCCTCTGCTCTAGAATGGGATACCTCCCACAGGAGACAATCCTTCAGAACAGACTGCTCTGGCGTGCTCCCTATGGTGTTGCAACTCCTGCCAACAAGCCTGCTCCAGGTGGGCTCCTCTCTCCACTGGGCCACATATTCTATGGGGAGCCTGCTCCAGCCTGGATTTCCACAGGGTCATAGCCTGCTTTTTTTGGGCATCCATATAATCTGGCATGGGGTCCTCCAGGGGCTGCTTGTGGGTATGTGTTCCACTGTGGAGCTCCATTGATTGGAGGAGCACAACTGCCTCACCATAGTCTTCACCAAGGCCTGCATGGGAATCTCTGCTCTGGCACCTGGAGCACCTCCAGTTCTTCCTACTCCACTGACCTTGTCTTCAGAGATCCTTCTTTTACACGTTCCCAGCCCTTTCTTCTCTGGCTACAGTTGCTGTGGTGCAGAGTCTTTTTCCCCTTATTAAATACATTATCCCAGAGGTGCTACCACAGTCACTAATGGGTTTAGCCTTGGCAAGAGGTGGGCCTGTCTTGGAGCCAGCTGGTGCTGACTCAATCAGACAGGCAGGAAGCTTCCAGCAGCTTCTCACAGAGGACACCCTTGTAGCCACCCCACTACCAAAACCTTGCTACACAAACCCAGTACAACATCTCTCCAGCAAAAGCTACAATTGTTAATCCAGCCTGTTTCTCACAATAGCTCATTCTTTTGTGAGCAGGGATCTGCTTGGAGCAAAATAACCTCTGATTTTTCACTGTGATAACGAGACAGACACAGTTACTCAGCTTGCTTGCTCCTCAACCACCAAAAACAGCCTTGCAATTCCCAGACCAACAGTCACAAGCAGAAAGAGGAAAGGTGCAGTTTCATAGCAGCCATCAGCCTCTTTCTTGCTTATGCATCAACCACAGTTGGTGCAACAGGTAAAACAATCTCCCTGGAATGCTCTACACATACCACACATCACAATATTTTTATGCCACAGACCTTTAAAAATAGTAGTCTTAACAAGGATACTGTGGTAAAGTACTCAGTTAAATAAAAATGTTATTAAATAGACAGAGCACTGGCTCTCTTGATGGCAAAGCAACACTATTAGTCCACAGATCCTTAGAGATCCAATACCCATCAACTTCCGTGGAAAGCAACACTTTGTTATGAACACTTCACCGTGGGGTGTGAAGTGTTCAGAACCAAGCAATGCAAATCATGACAAAGCAGTACTTATGATTTGTAAGATTTTTGGCATTTGGCAGCTTTATCTAAAAATTTTATACATAAAAATGTTCCATTTTGACACCATGTTAAAACAGTCATGATTCAAAAGCGAGGCTGGTTAACTTAAGAAACTTCCTGTTCTTAGAAGTAAGGGAAAACAATTGTTGTTCAAGACAAGTGTGAATATAAATCATATTAAATAATGCTCATGGTACGTTCACATTTTATCACAAAACACCTGTGTTTATGTTTGTCTTTCTTTTTTCCTCTAAAATCAAGGGCTACCTTGTACTATAAGGCAATGGGGCTTTAAGTTCCAAATTACTAAAAATGCCAGTTTTGTTCTAATGATTTCATATAAGACTAACAACCTCTCAGAATGATTATGGGTAGCTTTGGCCTCAAGGAAAAGCAAGTCATTACTATGATTAAAATAAAAAAGAAAGAGCTGGAGGCAAGTATCATACTGAAACTATAAACACAGAGAGAAGCATACATACAAATGTTGTGACCAGGCTTGTCTTATAATTTTTTTAAATTCAAAAATTTATGACAAGCAATTTTAAGATGCCAGCTCCAGCGTGCAGCTTGCTCAGGCTGTACATATCTCAAAAATTCTCAAAATGAACAGTCACTTGCAAGCACATGAACTAAAGAAATTGAGTTACCTCCTTAGGGAAATTCATGCATCTGGAAGTACTACATATTCACACAGAAATCACACAGCATTTTAATGTTGCTATTTATTACTCTACATATCAAGGCCGTTTCACCACTTCCACCACTATACTAAAGAGGTGCAAAATCTTTTATAGTACAATCTCTTTTCTCGTTTTTATAGTACAAGTCAAAATGGGGGAGAAAAAAAAAAAGTGGGCAAAGGTGTAAGACTCCAAGAAAGTGCATATTAAACCCTTAAAAGGTATGTGCTCCAATAGCATCAGAGGTGAACACACAGACAGCGTTTCTTTTTAGAATACCTCCTCCTTTTGTTATCTGTGACAATAAAACTATTACCTCAATAAAAATATAGCATAGGTGCTGGCAAATTTTTCTTTGGACTGCTGGTGCATAAAAATGGAACATTTGTAATTTTAAGGAATTTTGTGCTGGACCAAGCACCAAGAAAATATTAGTGTAAGATTTTTTTTTCCCCCTAAGGCAGAGATAATTACTTTTAAAATATAGTTATATATTCCTATACATAATAAAGTCCCTTGATAGACAGGACTATCAACACGAGACGAATTTAAATTCTAAGAGAGATTCTTCATTGTTGCAAAATTCCATTGCTTAGCTATGAACTAACTGACATTCTGGCCAGAGACTCCAAAACAGGCAGCTTACACTCAGAAGACTAAAACAACAATTTGCAGTCTAAAGAAAATGATCACATTATCAATTAAACACAGTACACTGTAAAGCAATCCAAGGAGTGATGAGGAAGTCCAAATAAAGTATTAGATCAACTGTATTTCTAAAATTTCCTCAAGCACATGGAACAACCACTGCCAATGGAAAAGAAAAAAAAAAAAAAAAACAAAAAAAACCACCTTCTATTTCCTGCTGCTGTCCTAACTGCACACAACTTGTGTTCCTCCTGCAGTATACACACAGGATGCAGACTCATACAAAAAGTAACAGCAGTCCATGTGACAGGTAACTTGCTCTTTCACATTGTTCTGAAAAAATTCAGCACTACTGAAGCCTTAACTCTGACACGGGATGCAGTATTTAATTAAGAGGCAAACAGCTGTTAAACTAAGCAGATTTTCACTGGCAGGCCTGCCCATAAATCCAGCTGAGATTAGACTGAGCCTGCCAATTGAAATCAATGCTGGACAGAGCACTATAGTCTTCTTGCTTAGTCTGTTTTGCTTGTCCACACACATTCTTATGTGTTGTGTAAATACCATAAAGAAAGCAGTGTTTTAAGTGATACTGAGGAAAAAAAACAGCATAACTGATACAGAAACAATAAATGAAACACCAAAAAACTAAAAGCTCCATGTTTCCGAATTTCTAAAGGAGCACAGTAGGATTTAGCTCAGGTTCTGAATTACACACAATTTAATCTAAATCAGTACATCCCACCCTAGTGGCTTTTCTATTCAGCAAATAAAAGTAAAATGTTATACATTATAAATACAGGTGGGCTTTTTGATGTGAAAAAAGCATTTAAAAACCGTAGAACTATCTTACCTTCAACATACGTTGGAAATGAAGCCAAGCTTTTTCTGGACTGTAATTAAGACAGAAAGGATTTCAAACAGAACATAGCATGCACAAATATGCATTAAAAATTTCTCTGTACCAAAAAACCCAAACTTAAATTATCCACAGTTATTAGTAAAGATAGAACCACTTATTATTATTTACATTTATTATTTTCAAGCTCTAAGAACCTTCTAGAGTAAATTCAATGTATTCCATTTGTGTCTATTTAGTAGACCAAATACGGTAAGACCAGACTTCACTTACTTGTTGGTCTTCACTAGTGCATTAATTATCTACCAATAAGTACACTACATTTAATAATCAAGAAACATGGAGGAAAGTACATAATACTTCCAAGATACTGGATCTTCCAACTACAAATAAATACATACAGGAATATAAAAACTGCACTTTACTGTTATAATTCATGACTGAAACCATCATTAACAAAATACAGTTATTCATTAGGAATGGTTTTAGATGTATCCCTCACATTAATAGTGACTACAAAAAATCTTCCTAGATTTTAACAGGTTAGAGAGCAGCCTCTGTTCTCTGGGATAACTGGATTCACCATGACCTCAGCACCAACTGTGCTTACACAATGTTGAGCACAAAAACACATTTGGCAGCACCAATTACATAAATAGTGAAGGAATAAATAGAATCTTGACTTGTGCATGTAAATACATACACTAAAGTAATACCATACATCTTACTGGTATTTTCTGTGAAAGACTATGAGACTAACCCTTCAGATACCTGACAGCCATGACTATCAGTGAGTGAGATTCAGCAGCTTGTTTAATTAATAACATAAACCACATACAAAAATTTATCAAACAAAACTGCGTGTGGCACTGTATAATTTCTAATGGATATACTGAAATACCTGCTGCCATCATAGGCAGGTAAGTGGATAGTTAATGAATCTATGACTGACTGTACTAGCAGTAACTGCTCCAATAACTGCCTATTATCATTCAATTAAAAGAAAATCTATACACATGATCAGAATATGCATAAAACCTTCAATAATTTTAAGTATATTTCCAGATTATATATGTAGAAATATATGCCAAATTATTTTTCTTTGCAACAGGTAACTTACCAAGGTCTGTGTACTGATGGAAAACTCAGGTAAAACTAGAAAGGTGACAGTTATGTAACAGGTTGACTGACTTAACCCCAAGGAGTCTTTTCCTTTGTAAGATACGGAAAATTGATATGACAAATAATATTTTTAAAAATTATGCATGTCTTGCTATAAAATAAAATTTGTGAATTAAAAACAAAAGGCATGGGACACAGACAATTGAGCCTGCGCAAGCTTTAATTTCTTTTCATTTCCTATGAAAATTACTAAACTGAGAATCCAAGAATCCTGTCCATCGGGTTCTGTACTAGCATAAATAAAGATGTCAATAATCAATGGTCTTCTGCTGCCAATGCATTTAAGCTGCTGTGAGGACACTGACAAGCCTTTTCACATCTGTGGCTCTTTCACCTCTTCAGATGAATGCTTCCACTGGACTAGCTATCCATATAGACTCCAAGAACTGTTTGTAATAGTTGCTGATGTAGTACTAAAGGGGTCATTCAAACATTGGGCTCTGACAGGCTTAGAGGACAAATCCCCTACAAATGAGAGGCAGCTCACATACATAAATACTATACAAAGTATTTACTTCTTTTTGAGCAGTGAACAAAATTTTTGATACAGATTCAGCAACTGTTCAGCACCCTTAACTAGAAATTATTTTCAGGATAGAGTGGTGTAAACCACCATCCTGTAAGTCTTTATTCTCACTCACAAAAAATTTTTCTTGTTCATTACCCAGGTAGAAAGGCATTCTACAAAAACCATTAGAAGAGTAAAGTAACAGGCAAAGTTACCAATAGGTGGAAACCTACACCTTTTAATTTTACATAGCCATGAATAATGAAATATCAAGGTCATTAATATTTTATTACTTTCAATAATCTTGTTGCCATATGCTATTATAAATTTATATTTAATAAAAATGTTTCTCTAAGACCTAAAAATCCAGAAATTATGAGGCTGTTTTATCACTTTTGTTCTTGCACTAAAAACACTAAAGTGGGAATTATTCCCCATCTGAGGGAAACTAATAACCCAATACATTCTACAGTGAAACCTGGTTTACCACCTCTGTAACTATAGGTAAGCACATCTTAACAATTTAAATAAACATTGTTTTGTTTGTTTTCTTTCTTTTGAGAAGTTTACTGATACCTAAAAATAGCTAAAATATAAAATACATAGCGATAAAGTCTGTAGCAAAGAATGCTTAAGGCTTTAACGAGCTAACATTAAAGCAGATGAAAAATTAAAGGCATGATCTGTAGTTGAAAACTACAGAATATGAAAAAGTATTCTGTAGGGCTTCTTCAGTCTTTTGAAATTTTTCATTATTTTGTAAATTCAAATGCAGACTGGCACAATTACATGTTACAGCCTTTTCTATCCCTTGATAATTTCAAAAGTAAAAAGGAACAAATGGATTATCTATGTTTCATTTTTAATCCACTTATAGTAGATCAGGTTTTTAATTTTGGAAGACAACTCATCCATTGCTATGAGTAACAATATGGCATTTTATTATGGTAGTTTCTAGACTGCTTTCAAGTTTATGAAAAAAATGCAAATAAGCCAAATTTTTTGCAGATTTTTCTGTTTACAGAACCTGCCACTTTATCCAAATCCAAATCTTTTTTTTTAAATTATTTTCTTTTTACACTATGTGTAGTTCTATTCACACTTATTTTGTTTTGGTGGAAGTACTGCAGCCAGATGAGGGGAAAACCCCAAACTATGTAGCTTTATTCTGAGAAGCTTGGAGTCAGGAACTGAATTCTGATTAAGAATCACTTGCAGGCCACAATGACAAAATATTAAGCAGCATAATTTATTATGTAATAATTTAATTTAAGCACTTTTTCATTTGGCTGACAAGTACTCTTTCTTAGTGGGGGGAAAAAGGAAAAAAAAATGCTTCTTAGTTTTGTCTCTGCTACAGAGGGGATGTTGGCTGTTTGGTAAATCAGTACTCTGCAGCCTGTTAAACAAATTTAGTGACAGCTGAACACCGAGTCAGAAATGCCACGACAAGAAGTCTTCAGTATGTTAGAAATTCAGTCACACAGCCGGGCAAACATAAAGTAAAGAAGCATAAGGAAAGAAAAACAGAAGAAAAGGGATTGCACAAGTACAAGGGAGCAAGGAAAATCAAAAGGCATAAACAGCATGAACCAGACTGTGGCCTTTAAAAAGGTTTTACTTTACCTCTTTATTAGTGGAAACCTCTGCTGTACTGCAGGCATCCTGGTGATGTTGTCTGTTTGATGATTCAGCACCGCGAGGTGAAGAGGAATCTGGAGATGGAGACTAGACATGGCAAGAAAATCAAAAGTTATTGTGAGCACCCAATATAGAAATTATTCTATGTTCATTTTCTACATCCTATGCTCTGACATTCTAAGAAAGAAAAGGTAAAGTCACTTAAGAGTAAGCTGTGATGGGAGACAAGTGAATTGACCTTAAGCAGCACACAGGGATTCAGCTAAAGTTTATTTAGTTGTCAAACTGGGAGAAATGAATAAAAGACTGAAACTTCTCCATAAGCATACAGGCCCCCAGGTATTATTAACCTGAAGTACTAAACTAATCTAATCTGAGCAGAGGAAGGTCACAGCAGTTGTCTATAAAGGTTATTCCACTATCTTAGAAAACAACTTTTATCAACTGTGCAGAGTAATATTGATGTACTCAAGATTTTATTAATATATTCAATGACAATTCAATACCAGTATAATCAAGGACTGGGATTCCTCAATCTAGGTACAGTAAAGACTTGGAAAATATTCAACATTTCATGCTGTCAGCTCAGTACAAGCTCTTTAGATCAGATTTCCTCATTCTTCTCCTTTTTCCATAAACAATTTGGTGGAGAAACTGTCTAACGTGATTGACCAACAAGTATCTTGTTAAAGGCGAAGAACGTTCTCGGAAAGGATATTCTAATCACAGACAATTCCTAATGAATGCTAGTGATGAGAAAAAGCTGCAGCAAGGTATCTGAAGTACAGAGCAGGGGGTCCTGGTATGAGGGTGTGACACACCCTCATACCAGGACACTTAAGACACACTCAAGAACACAGAATGTGGAATTAATGAAGGTGACCGAAATGAAAGAGTACAAAGCTTTAACCCAGCAGGCATTTTTAGAGGCAGATTTTAATGAGACACCTACAAAATATGTCTGCCCAAGCCAAAATGGAAATCCTCAAAAGGGAAGTTTAGCATTTACCTACAGCTGGGTATTCAGCCCAATAGCCGTGGCATTCTACACTCTCCTTTAACATGGGAAGAATGCAGCTCTAGCTGTGCCAGCTCAACAGTTCATCACTGATGGCAAAACAAATCAAATGCTATTCTTATCTTTTCATAAACAGTATGACATAGCTTTTCTCTGAGCCAATGAGTCCTATCAGAAGAGGGATAAATTTCCAGTGGCCTGAGCTGGCAGCAGCTCCACCCTCATGCTCTGCATCCATTGCAGCTGAAAAATTCAGTTCCACGAAATAGTCTATAAAAACCCCACAAAACAAAACCAGGAACAAAAACTAAAACCCCAAACATCTAAGTTCCTCTTAGCCTCCCTTAGATATGAAATGAAACAAGAAAACATAACTCCTTTCTCCACTTCCTTCTCTTCACAGACATTCCTCTATCTCAGCTAATAACTAAGTATTATAATTATGGTTAACTAATAAATGCTTCCAAAGAGCTAAGAAGCAATTCTTTACAGATATCTCCTGTGTTAAAGAGCAGTCCCTGCATCTCCCTGTACTTTGCATCACAACTGCAAGACAGAAGAAGATGCAGCTGTGAAACAATCTCCATAAAGCTAGCATGTGGTTGCACAATCAGAAGAATTACTTGCCATACAGAGCACATGAGCAGCGGCTGTGGGAGAGATGCAGGCTCCCTTGAGTTGCTGTGTAATTACCAGTCAACAGGGCAACTGCACAAATAGCAACTCCTATTTACATAAGGAAGAGTTTTCATGGTGCTCACATTTTTATTATTATGCAGTATTTATGTATTAGGAATAAATTTAAAAGGTGTATTATACTATCAATACAATAATGGCATCTAGACATTGTAGCATTCAGCTTTAAACAAGAAACAAATAAAGTTACACATGAGATGTGTACGTGCACACACACAAAAGCGCTCTTTACAATAGCTGAAAACTCTCATATTCACATACTGAAGGATAAAGATTAATGATTTTATTTAAACCAGACAATTAGCATTAAGAAATTGCATATCACTTCAAATGTACTAGCAGTTACTCTAGTAGCACTATAAGTACTTTTACTCAGGTACTTCTATCTACAAAGTATCAGAACTAAGTTATTACATGCCTTTCTATATGCTCTGTTTGAATGTCTGCTCAAATATGTGTTTTGGGTGAGAAAAACCCCTGAACAGCAACAACCAACCAAACAACCCCCCCCCCAAAACCAAACCAAGAACCAGAACTACCAAACCCAAACATCAAACATCTTAAGTCTGCTGCATGACAGGACATGAGAGCTGTCCTTGAAAACATTTGTAAAGGAAAGTCCAGTCTTTGAAGAATTAACACTCAGTTCTCTTTGACACCAAAATACATTTTTGGAGGTACTGTATATAATGTACAAGGAAAGAATGCAGTCACAACAATAACAAGAAATAGCCTGATGGATCATAGAGAATAGATAATTTGCACAGCTGCTCTAAACAAAGTCTAAAATAAAGGCTTAGTGACTATTTCACTGTCATTTGTTAGTAACAAAACAAGTTTTAGAAGCCTAACAAAGTTGTTGTCAGAACAAACACAGTAAAGTCACATGATGCATGCTCTTATTAGGCACAGAGGTCTACCAATGGAATTAAGATTTTTTTTTTCTACATGAAGCAGTAAAAGACTGACAGCTATCCCTTTTTCCCTTGAATATCTACTTACATTTTTCTTATGATATTCAACCTGGTACATCCAAAAATTCTCCATCTCAACTTTGGCGTTCTTTGACTCTAACTAACATGCAACCCACTCCACCTGAGAAACCTTCCTTGCTCTTGTGCAGAAAGGTTTAGCAAAGGACCTTGTAAAAGGAGAGGATTGTGTTGCATCTAACCTATCCAAGTCAATCAGCTGTTTCCTATACAGTTCATGAAGAGACATGTAACTGACACTGAAACACTGAAACTCATAAAAGCTGTATTGTTTTATGTGCTTTTAGTAGCAGATCATTTGAAGAGAGTACAGCTTACAGGTCACATAGGCTAGGACAGAAGGGATGAAATCATATAATCATAGAGTCATAGACTCTTATATTTGAAGGAATCTTAAAGATCATCTAAATTTTACTGCCCCTGCCATGGACAGGGACACTTTCCAATACACTGAGTTGCACAAAGCCCCATCCAGCCTGGCCTTGAACACTTCCAAGGATGCAGCACCTGGATAAACTGTGCCAGTGCCTCACCACCCCCATGCTAAACAACTTTTCATGGCATCTAATCTAAACCTACTTTGTCGATTGAAGTGGTTCCCCCCTGTCCTGTCACTACATGCCCTTGTAAGAAGTTTTTCACTGAACAACATCCCTAAGTGCTTAACCTGCAGAGTTGCTCTCAATGAATTATTTATTTTTCCAGTTTGTGTTTGGGATTGCCCTGGCCCATGTGCAGGATGTTGCACTTGGCCTTGCTGAACTTCATGAGGCTCTCACAGGTCAGGGCCACCTCTCAAGCCTACCTATGTCTCTCTGGATGGCAACCCTTCCCTCCAGTGAGCTGACCACACCACTCAGCTTGGTGTTGGCAAACTTGCCAAGGGTGCACTCAATCCCACTGGTCCATGTTGCTCGCAAAGATGTTAACAGTACTGGTCATGTTCTGTTTTGAAAAAGGTAGTTTATTCAGAGGTTTTTTATATTACCATATGTGTGGACAAACCCACAAATGCTTCAGAAATTCAAGATTCACTTAAACAGCAGGACATTACTTATTTAACACTAATGTCTACCTACAGGTACATATGGCACAGGTATGGCAAAGTCTCCTTGTACATTATTAGCTCAGGAGACAATTGCATAAAGCAAGGGTTTAAATTTTATTTGTTTTAGAGACAGTGCACTGAAAAGAACCCATACACAGTATTAGAAAAGGTCAAAGAACTATGGAATCTTCAGGTCCAATGCGCAAGTATAGTCAGATGCATTCTATCACAAGAACTGCCTTTATCAGGACAACGATGGCAGTAAATCCCCCAGGTTTTAGGCCAACTATGTGATGGCAGTGTCCTCTGTCATTTGTACAGCTCAAATTCTGTTCACTAAAATACAGACTGAGACCACAGGTTTTAGTCGGCATAAATACCTGTAAAGAATGAAGCTAAAAGCTAATGATTATTGGTTGTCTTTGTTGAAAATTTAAGTACAGTGCCAAAAATGGTAGGCTTCATAAAAATGGTACCAACTTAGCACTTTACACATACCTGCATACTGTGGCACAATCTATGCAGTTCAATTTATAATTCTGACATACGGCTTCAACTGTGTACTGTAGTTCTGGTATAACTGCCTCTGCACATACCCCGTGCACTTACCTATCAGTTTGCTGGGTGCTCTGGGACCTGCCCCCTGTCAGTTTGTGCATACATGATGGGACAAGATGACCTGAGACAACGTTACTGGCTGAACTGCTCCTTCAGAACAACACATCTGATTAACTGTTATAGCACCTCTCCATGGAAGAATTTCAGGCAGCCAAAAGAGATTCCCCCAAAAGGCTCCTCCTGTGCCCAAGACAACTGATAAGCACCATTTATCAATTTAACTACCATCCTGGGTAGTTAGCATCTGAAGTGAGGGGCTCTGTCAGTTAGGCCTCTGACTGATCCAACAGCTGACCCATGCAGTTGCTTGCCACAGAAATGACCAATTTGCTTATGGCTACGATACTTGCTGGTAGTCAACAGAAGTTATTCCTGCCTATGCAGATAACATCACATACAGCAGTCTCATTACACATTCAACAAAGGAGGTGTTTTGTACATAGCTTAAGGTAAACAATAGCAATGGATCAGACATGCTGGAGCAATCATATAGGATCACAGACCAACTGTATCTAAGAACAAATGCAGTTTGGGAAGTCTTGGTTTGTGGAATTTCCTCTGATCCAGGTGATGACGTCCTGCAAAGACAGAGCCTCCTGTCACTTACCATCATCTGGACAATGAAAAACAATCCCATTTCAGAGACCTGACTCAGTGCTGGCTGCTTCTTTGAGTATGGACTTCCTTAGCCATAGTTTCACTTCAACTTCCAGTG